AAAGAAACGTTTGTCTAAGCTCCGTAGTAACAAGAGATAATAATCAAAGGACTTCGCGCACTGCAATATCAGAAGTGCGATCGCGACCTGAGTTGTCAATTTGGCACATTTTGTACGATCCCAAGTGTCCTTCTCCCTTCGAGAGCCCTTGCGGCCTCCAATGACGCCTCGCAACCACTTTTTATCGCTGCAACAAAGAAAAAATAATTATTAAAGGTCACTCGATGTCAAACATCTTCGTTATTTTATTGAAGCTAAACATTTTTTCTTTGAAATTATGGTTGTTGCTATGTTCTAGAAATATCTCCTGCTGTAATGCCGATCTATGTACCTAAGTACGTACTAAAGTATTTACAACAGTAGTTACTAGTACTCAAATGAGATATAACATAATAAAAGTCGTAGGCACATGCCTGTGTAAGTAACTATACAGATTTTGATAGTTACTATTTGGATTTTACTAGTAGTTAGTACCTACTTAGTACATGTAAGTACCTCCATTTAGAATCGTCTAGATCTAAGCGTACCTAACACACTACGTTTTATATCATCAGACCTACCCAACATCTGCCCTCTTTTACGTCCCATCTAAGACCTTTTATATCATTGTAGTCTCTTAAACAAAAAATACGAAACATTAGACAGAAAAAGCGAAACTCGTGAACTTACACATCTAGTGTCTAGTCATACTACTAAGCACTGGAACTACATGTGAGAAAAACTAAAGAAAAATTCAGTTATAAAGAAAAAACTTGTGGAAATTTCTTTGTCCTCCTAATGATAGTTGTTACCGTATCTTTGTATTAGGGTCGCGGCCGTATTTGCGGTCCTCCTAACTCGATGTAACAAGCGCGCGTCACCACCTAAGTTTTAACTCGATACATTATGATTATAGAACGGAGTAAGGTTGCGAAATGGGATTTTTAAGAAAGACTTATGAACTTTTCAACTATATGATAAGGTTTAAAGTGCTGTGACAAAGCCTTGAGAGTTTAGGTTTAATTTGTTACGAAATCCTTTTTTCCTAAAATTGTCAAGTTACATTCTTAGGTAAAATTGCCAAGTTATGTTTACAACACATCTGATCGTGGCTAACATCAATGTAGTTCAGACATTGTAAATTATAATAATATGTTCTCCCGATGATTGTAGAGGTATGGGTATGTCGTTCAATCAATCGGCCTGAGTATCAAGCCCTTTACATTGATAAGACGTTTCCTTTGACGCGTCTCCCTTTGAGAACACGCGAATCCGACAACATCGATAAATGTATTCACCGAGTTAGAGTCAATTTAAACCTACTTACATATGACAATATGAATAATTCTGGGTTATTTGTACTCATTTATTAATTCTATATTAATATTATAATATAAGTGTGGGAGAGCCATGCTTCGACATGAATGGGCCGGCTCGACCGGAGTGATACCACGGCCTCACAGAAAACCGACGTGAAACAACGCTTGCCTTGTGTTTCGTCGTGTGAGTGAGGTTACCGGAGGCCCAATTACCCTCCCCTCCCCCAATCACCCCAATCCCTGAAACCCCAACGATCCTCAAATCCCGATTCCCAAAAGGCTGGTAACGCACTTGTAACGCCTTGGTGTTTCGAGTGTCCATAGGCGGCGCCGATTGCTTACCATCAGGTGATCCGTCTGCTCGTTTACCGGCTTATGCTATAAAAAAAATTAGTAGTTTAAAGCTTTAGTAACATAATTTGAAACTTTATTGTGTTGATTGTGTTTAGCTAAGAGAATGATTGCAATACTACTTTTTCTGTCATATAAACTACTTATTTTTTAGATCACCTTTAAAAATAATACATACAAGAAAGTAACCACAGATGTCACACAGAAGCTCAATAATATCCGTTCTCTCCTCATTTACCTGACCAAACACATTTCAAAAAGGTCCTAAGTCTATAAACTATAGATAATACAACAATTAGTACTCTAATACCGGGTAACTAAAAACTAATTAGCATTAATGCCACTGGCAGTTGAATGGAAAGTGAATCAGAGTGGCGGGAGCTGTATTACCGGCCCATTCAAAGCGTCGCTGCCAACCTGCCTTAAATGAGCAAAGAAAATTAGAAAACCACTCCCTTTAGTTCCCGCTAAAACTTTACTAGTTTTACTGCCAACTGACAAAACTAAAGGATGACCTCTTGTTTAATAAAGTATTCAAATATCATCATATTATTTTAGAATGCCTAATGACATTGAATCTATTTCAAAAAAAGAAGTAAGTTCTTAGTTCGATATGTATACGTTTATCCCGCAACTGACTGAACCGATTTTGATGCGGTTTTCACAAAAGGGTTTGTTACACTTAGGAAAAGTTTTTAATATATGACTTAACCGACTTAAAGAAAAGGAAGTGGAAGTTGGTTCATTTTAATGTAGTTTATATTTCTTATGAATAGGTACGAGTCATCGGAGATCGGTAGGTACCTTCATTCTTGCAATTAAATATTTATTACTGCTTCTTGTTGATCGAATACTGAACATCAAAAACATCGTTTAATCCACGTCGAGAAGAAGTGTGCATGTGCAATGTACCACTTTTTAAGTGTTATGTTATGTTATAAGTCTTGTATTTTTATTTTATGGCATAAGCCGGTAAACGAGCACACGGATCACCTGATGGTAAGCAATCGGCGTTGACCATGGACTCCTGGAACACCAGAGGCGTTACAAGTGCGTTACCGGCCTTTTGGGGATTAGGAGTTTGAGGATCGTTGGGGATTGGGGAGATTGGGGAAGGGGAGGGTAATTGGGCCTCCGGTAACCTCACTCACACGACGAAACACAACGCAAGCGTTGCTTCACGTCGGTTTTCTGTGAGGCCGTGGTATCACTCCGGGCGAGCCGGCCCATTCGTGCCGAAGCATGGCTCTCCCACACTTAAACTGTAACCGTATAACTGTATTAGGGGCAAGACTACAAAACTACGAGATAAGAAATCGTATGTTCAGTTCTACATGAACGATAAAGTAACAACGTACTTAATTTGCTTGAATCAGGTATATTAGAGGTGATCTGCATAACACATCGAATGTTATTCATTTCTTAGTACAAGTCTCAACATACATACCAAGAATTTTCTTGAAAAAAGAAATCAAATACTACCCTGTATCCAAGCAAATAAAAAACATAAATTAGAAAATATATGATAGAACATCTATGCTCGAAATTGACTTATGAACTACTTACGTCTAAGTCGAATTTAACTTTATTAAACTTTGACCATCCATCAAACGAAATACACAAAGCAGAACGTATGACTCAAAACATATGAACTTAGGTACTTCGTTAAAAACAAAATTATTCCGTCGTCTTCTAACAAATCCTGGATATAAATTACAAATAACATGTATATCTAGCTAATCTGTAATATACTGCGACACATCTACAAAATTAATGATAAAACTAAATTGTTAAAAATTTCTTACAAAGGTACATACATACATACATAACTTCACGCCTGTCTCCCATGGGGGTAGGCAGAGATTAATTTATATTATTTAAATAAAAATTAATAGGTTACACATTACATTACCTACATAACATCATGCCTTTTATCCCAGAAGTGGATGGCAGAGGTGCACATTACGGCAGATAATGTCACTGTACAATGTAACACCCACTTTTCACTATTTATGTTATGAGTCCCATGTAATAGGGAGGTGAGCTTATTACCATATACCGGGCACAATTCCAGAATCCGTGCTCCTACTGAAATTAAAAAAAGAGTAATAATTTGCCCGACCCGGGAATCGAACCCGAGACCCCTTGTCCGGCAATCGCACTTGCGACCACTCGGTCAACGAGACAATCGGCAATAATAGAGTACACCTCAGAATATAATGTACCTACTTGTTGTAGTTTAATAATCGCCAACATGGTACCAACATGGTACCTACATATAGGGAACTAAAACCAACCATTTAATCTTAGCTATAAGTTGTAGGAAATCAAAATAATATTATAAGATATTGAATCGAATCATATGTGGAATGGAGGCGGCAAACTAGCACTCAAATCAGTGCACGAGAACGAGCAATCATTGCATGCCAGCGTGCAATTACAGTCACATACATCCGAGTTGACTAGGTCACTGGTACACAGCCATTGATTGCCTCCAACGTATGAAATTCTAAGATACAGGACTACTCGGAAATTAGTTTACGTCATGAAAGGATCCCAAATCGAAGCGTTTTCCTCCTACGCTTAAAATCGAACCATACTTCTCTATAAAACATGTAACTAAAGATAGCTTATATTTATTCTCTCACGAACATTAGGTACTCAGTAACGTCTATTTGAAATCGAAACCTGAAACGACCTTTCAAAACAATGCTAAAGGTCCCCCAACTCCTATATCAGGTATACAATTTGAGAATCATGATGCTTAGGGAACCCTTTTTACATAAAGTGAAACAAAAAATAGCGGTTTGGGCTAGATGCCAAGATTTCGATCTTAAAAATTCCATATTCCGTAACAAATGACATTGTTTCGAGAGTCGCAACACGGCTGCGGCCCCGTGTTACTTAATATTCAAGCAATTAAACCACCACCGGACTTCAAACATCAAAAAGGGTCGTATCTATTACCAAGAATTTGATTATCTTTAAAAAGCTTTACTCAGTTTTCTTGAAACTCTGAATCTTGATTTCAATCGTCAATATTTTGGTTCGTCGTTACATAGAGCGTTCTTTATTGATATTAAAAGACGTTAACATTGTTAATTAACAAATAATTAATACAAGTACAAACATCAATTTAATAGTCGTTTCAGTATTCAATATGTGAACATAAAAGTACCATAATCTCCGTGTGGAACATTTATTACGCCACTCATTCTAAAACATGGCATTTACATAAATTAATTACATTTTTAGGAAAAAATACGTATTATTTTCCTTTTAAAACCGCTTATCTTCTATTCTTTCTATTATTTTGAAGCTAAATATCAAATGTTAAATCTCTGTGTACAGCATTTTACAAGTTGACGCGAAAGGAGCAATCTACTTGACGACTAAAAATGGAACGTTTCCAATATCGCTGACATCCCTGAAGTCCCGAGACGACGCTACATCGCAACACACTCCAAGCATTTTGTCTACGACCGCTAAAAATCTCTCACACAATACCTCGGAGACGGAACATGACTACTGGGATTCCTCAGAAATGCTGCTCTCCAATTACATAAACGGCACATACGACGAACTCGATGCCTTCACCTTGAAACAAAACGCTAAGCGAAGCATTAATGATGCAGTCTCCAAAAACATCACTATGGTCCTCGAAAATCTACTGAAGAATTACGAAAATTCACAGTTGCCTACACATGGGAAAGGTATGTCTTATCTCGTTATAGAAATTTTCTAAAAAACAATAGCTACTCGTAAATCTATTTCGCCGTCATAACTTTTCCCATCGTAGACAAAACGTTAATCAAAGTAAGTATTGAGTTATGTACGGCACTATTGTGTCAGTCTCGTCTTTGTGTACTGCCACGAAATATCTCTTATATTGTACGTACATCGAGATAATTTATTTGATGTGTTTTATTTCAGGTTACCCTACTGTCGTACAGACTAATATTCTTATACGGAGTATGGGACCCGTTTCTGAATTAGATATGGTGAGAACTGAGAACTAACCTCTATCTATAAAATTAAGTAACATATAGACTAGAATTAAAGATAATATTCATTAATAAATTGTGTTAAATAATTAATTATTTAACATAAATTATCAACGTACGTAGTATAATTATTATAACAACTAATATACAACATACGATTCTGTTTCGAGTCCTTGCTACGAATATGCTACGCAAAGGCTACGCAATTGCTACGAGAACAACGCGTTGCCAATAGTGACCACTACGGCATTGAAAATTGATCGTTTACTTTACAAAATATAATTTTTGCACGTTCATTGTAATTTTTATATATCATTACAAGTCTCAGTAAATCTTAATCTTATAAGTATGATAGAGTTAAGTGTAAAGCATTCACACTGATTTTATGACGAACCCAAACAGTAGAGTTAAAAACAAAGAAAGGATGCGTCTACGTAAGCACGATATTTTTTGAAACACATTATTGAGTTAACATAAATATTTTTGTGTAACAGGATTATTCAATGGACTGCTACTTCAGGCAGTATTGGCGTGACACGCGGCTGTCTTTCCTGGGTCCCATCCGCTCCCTGTCACTTTCTATCAAGATGCTCGAAAGGATTTGGCGGCCAGACACCTATTTCTATAACGGAAAACACTCCTATGTGCACACTATTACTGTCCCAAATAAGTTGTTAAGGATTAGTCAGCACGGAGATATTTTGTACTCCATGAGGTAAGCACATAAAGCAAAATAATCTATTTTCTTTTCTAAAATATCTTAATTTGGATAATATTGTTTTATTTAAAAAACTGTAGACTGGAGATTTGTATTTAACAGCTGTATTATTAAATTTATTGTTCTATTTATTTATTTTAATTAGAATATGCCTGATGAGTCAACTAACAAAATGTAGTTTAGTTTTACATTGCTATAAATATTTAACAGCGCGTATATTCACCATATATTTAAGTTATCAAACTATTTAGTTTGGATTAACAAGACCACTAGTCCCGTCAGTCTACGACGACAAAACTTTCCTACAACTAACGTGCATAAAACGAAAAATCCCAATTAACGTTTGAGAATAATTAATTTCATACCCTTTGCACAACCAAAGCGCCCGACATTTTTAATTGGCAAAGTGAAAAATATTCTGTGATCCGATTACTCCGTGGAGTTTTCATTGGACGTAAAATCCAAGTATTCAAGCTAAATTTTAATAAAAAAGCACACCATTGAGATATTGTTTGGATTTATCAAGATTCTCTTTCGCTGTCTTCTGATCTGCTGGATCTTTCGGAATAGCGAACAATAGAGTTCTGTTTTCTAAAAAAATTGGAGAATATATTTACACAAATGGCTAGCAAAGAACCATCCATTTATCGTTCCTTATGAAACATAGGTACCTTTAACCTCCATGAGGTATAAAATAAACCTAGCATATTTATCGTATGATGACGAGGGGAAACTCTAGGTAACAATATTCGAGTGAAATTAGCAAATGATTTTGAGATATTTTAGTAAAATTGTGACCAATGTGTATAAAACTGAATAGTTAAGTTCGTCTAATTTCCGTTGAAGAATATGCAAGCGTCCATGGGTTAATCGGTTTACTTCGGACAAAATTCGGCTGCAGAATTGCTTCGTTGAACGCGACACAGGCTCAAGCGTCCTTTCGGTTAATCTAATGCCCTCAACGTTTCGAACGTTTGCAGCTATTTACTGTTTCACTTTACAAACAGTGTTTTTAACTAAAACGTTGAACCGTTTATTTTACTTTTTCATTCATTCTCAATTCAATTACGCTTGCAACGTAACAAAAGTTTAGGCTTTTTTCTTGTTAGTATCTCTTTACGATCCACAAAATAATATACCTACCTCTTAACAAAATCACTCCATTATGTAATATCGTGTGAGTTTCGATAAACATGCGAATCAATTTCATTGAAGATTATTTGCAGGTTAACGATAAAAGCGAAATGTCCAATGGAACTCCGAAATTTTCCAATGGACCGACAATCTTGTCCATTGATTCTTGGCAGCTGTGAGTATGAACTTAAACATATAACTATTTTTTTATCTTCTTTCGAGTTATCCATAATTAATTTAATAACAAACAATTAATTTACAAGAAGTTGGCAATCATTTTTATGTCAATGTTTACTTATCCTTATTTGTAGATGCATACTCAAACCAGCAGTTGGTGTACCAGTGGCAAAACTCTCAGAGCGTCAACTTTGTCCCGGGCATGACCCTCTCACAGTTCGACCTCATCAGCTTCCCTTATAGGAACTTTACGTTCACTCGACGGGAAGGTAATATTATCTAGATATACATACACGTACATAGGTACTTATATAAGATTCAACATGCATCACATTTATCAAGTTCTTGCTTTGTTCGCCTAAATAAGAACATTATACAGTTATTTGCGCTCCACTGCACGGATTAAGTACGAAGAACTTCTATTCATTTAGGAAGAAAGTTTGTCTGCCGCAAACAAGAGTAACCTCCCTTATTACGCAGCCTATACAAACAAAAATGTATTTGTTCACGCGTAACGTCACATTGCCGTTTGATTATATCGCCATATTGAACGCAAGTATGAAGAGGTCTCCATATTATTATTATCTGCTTTTTATTAAATTTTTGTATAAGAAAAGAGGTATGTTAGTGCTATATTGAAGGTATTAAATCGAAAATTTTATCGTGGCTCATATCAGGGCTTTCATTTCTACTAATCACGACACTAGCACACACCTCCCACGACCCGCCGCCACTTTATCCGCTTACAGCTTAATGTGATTCCGCGCACATGGGTTTGGATATGGAAAATACCTCTTAAACTAATATGTATATTCAAATCCAGCCAGCAAATTCATTAAAGTTCTTTAGTGCAGTTCTCACAGCATTGCATAAAGAAATAGTTTAAAGTCCTTTCTATGGATACCATCGGGAATATCGATGAATAAATGCATAACAAAGGTGGGCTGCCCGTGTGTGTACGGTGTACCGCCATCCACGTGTAAACTCACTCAGCCGTAAATGACTTACCCGTCTCTTATTTACCGAAAATTTCTGTGCTCAGAACACGTCGCTTTTTAGCATTTTTATCTTAAATTACCTTGCAAAATAGACCTCAAGTGCTTCTTTTATAAATATGATTTGCTTTTTTCGTCTGGAAGGCAAATACAAAATAATGTCAAACGAATTGTAGCGCCTCGCGCCAATGACACGAATCGGCTTTTACGCGCCGAGAAATTTACATTCGCATAAATGGCTCCCAATATGTAACTACTGAGCCGGTCAATGCTTTTTAGTGTTCAATATATCGGTACTTATCGAGCATGTTATAAGTATACTTATTGCAGGAATAATCTGTAGCACGTAGTTACACATACACATTTATCCATATTCCACAGTTTACATTCAATTAATTGGCAAACAAATGTTTCAGGTGAGTTTTCCGTGCTTCAAGTATCGTTCAATCTTCAGCGCCATACAGGCTACTTCCTTATACAAGTGTACGTGCCATGCATACTCATCGTGGTCCTTTCGTGGGTGTCATTTTGGATTCATCGCGAGGTACCTAAGTTGTAGACGCTTTCCTTTTATTGAATAATTCGTACAAATGGATAGGTTTGTATATTGTTAACATTTGCTTTACACAACAGGCTACGTCTGATCGTGTTGGACTTGGTATAACAACAGTGCTGACTCTTTCTACTATCAGTCTGGACTCACGCACTGATTTGCCCAAAGTGAGATACGCGACTGCTCTCGACTGGTTCCTACTGATGAGCTTCTTTTATTGCATTGCGACGCTCTTAGAATTCGCAGGCGTGCATTATTTTACCAAGGTAAGGAAGAAAATTGTTGGTAGTACCTACTTTACCTAAGTAATAAGTTACTAAGCTAACGCTAAGTATCCACGAATATGATTAACATGTTTTAGGTTGGCTCCGGTGAGATTGTAATAGATGATGCAGAATGGGAAGAGCTGATTGAAGAAGTTGGAGGTGACGCTTTTGCAGCAAGGCAACTAGCGGTGCGCCGGCGCAGTTCTGCTCGATCTACTACGAACTTCGTTAGTATCTAAATTATAATAACTTGCATTATATATGTATGTTGTGTCTGCTTTGCCTCGTTGGCCGAGTGGTTGCAAGTGCGACTGCCAGGCAAGGGGTCTCGGGTTCAATTCCCGGGTCGGGCAAAGTATTACTGGGTTTTTAAAAAAAAATCTCAGTAGTAGCACGGTGTCTGGAATTGTGTCCGGTATATGGCAATAGGCTCACCCCCTATGACATGAGAGCAGGGACTCATAACATAAAAGTGGGTGTTACATTGTACAGTGGCATTAAGTGCCGTAATGTGCACCTCTACATAACCCCTTCGGGGATAAAAAGGCGTGATGTTATTATGTATGTTGTGTGTGTGTGTGTATGTAACTTAAGCCCATGATGAGGCAAGAGGTTTCTTCGTGAAGTGATTAAAATTTTCTATCCAGTTGTTTTTTTTTTATTAGGTAGGTACCGAAGTGAGATATCGTGATGATTAAGCTGCTCCTTAAAGTTTTAATAGCTTAATCCATCCCATTCTAACCAAAAATATCATTTACTTTCAGAGTTTCACATTGCCTGCTCAAAGTAACCAGGAGGAGAGTGGAGCCCCAGCCGAGCAGACCGCGGTCCGGCTGACCATGGAACGTACCACGCAGACGGAGAGACGGGTCCCACGCTGGCGACAACTACTCTATTGCCTCGCTGGAGACGACCGATACCGTAGACAGAGACAGGTGGAAGCTGGTACGTGTAACTAACCTGATCATAATGATTTTCTTATAAAAAGAACATGGTAGACAATAGAAATGTCATCTTAAACAAATTCTTAGGTAAAATGTACTTTCGTACAGTTTGAAATACACTAAACTACAGTGGCGCCATGTATGGAGCGCAAAAATATATTAAATAACTTGTTAAAACTTCTCAAACGATTTTTGAAAAAATTGTAACATCATAACTACATAGGGCATGCGTTGGCATGTCCTATGTAGGTATGCGTTGGCATGTCCTATGTAGGTATGCAAACAATCTGCATCACTTTACCTAATAGATACCTGTAATCTACATTTATCCTCCAGGGTAACGTTGAGATTGAAACATCATTTAATATGAACATTCCGGTACGATTACTAAATTAGCCGCCATAATTATTTACCTAAGATTTAACTTAAATCAACATTCTTTTCAAATCTTACAGGCAGCCGAGGCCACATAAACAGCGTGTCACACATAGACAGGGCTGCCCGCGTCATGTTCCCGGCATCGTTTGCTCTACTCAACTTGTTCTATTGGATGGTCTATGCGTTCTCTAGCGACGACTTTGCATGGAGTGACAACCCTATGAATTCTTTGTCTCATTAGAAAAAGTACTTATTTAGAAGAGGACTTAGACTAAAATAGGTATTCTTTGAGTACATTGTTACCCATTATGTAGATATATGTAATGAAGCTAGTAGGATAGTAGTTAATTTAAAAAGAGCTGTACCTATTCATTATCGAATTTAAATAAAAATAATTTTCTTAATTCTATGAAAATAAATCTAGTTATTTTCTTAGGGCACTGTATTGAAATTGAGCATTAAATTATAATAAATATCTCCATAACTTTTCTCACGACTCGTCACTGCCTATAAATTTTATTTTTTCCTATTTCTAATCTATAATGAAAACTTCATAGATATTGATTTATTTATTTTAGAGTCATTGATGCTGAGGAGTTTGGATCTTGTATCTTGAAGTTACTGATTGTTTTGCATGTTTCTTCAAATATAAATAGTAATTATGTGTCATCACATTAAGACCTCATCACAGCTTTTATCTCAAACAGTAAAATGTGGAAAATGTGTGGGTATTACATTGATTTGGTTTTGTGTATTATACTAATGGGTATTATATGTAAAGTAATATAGTTTTTTCCCAAATACAATAAAATAAAAATATTTCCTCGAGCCTTGAGTTATATATTCATAGAATGAAAATGAATTACGTTACTTTTACGTTACGATTTACGTTACTACGTTACTTAGAACCGAGAACATACTATTTAGAAGATAACTAGATGTAGGTACTGATATGTATCCTTTGTATGTATATCCTATGTACCTTTTTCTCATAACTTCTTCGAAGGCATAGATATATTTCTAAGGTAGAAAATAAAAAACTAAATATGAATTTCACGTGTTTTATTATACTGAAAAACTAAAGCCATTATAGGTATAGTGAATCTGTTGAAGTCGGAACTCTTGAACACTTTTATCTTAATTAGGTACAATAAATATCATGATTTACATTTTTTATTACAAAATATACAAGTTTTAAGAAGTATAAAACATTCCTTGGCCTCAGTAGGCCTAGAGATACATCGCACATTCATAGTGCTTACAGAATTTTCAAGAATAGAATAAGGGGCGTTTTATTTCATAGGGAAAAGGCATGTAATCAATTAAGTAGATTTCTATAAGAATTCAATCCAATCAAATAAAAATATATTTGTTTACACACCTCTCCTCTACCATTCAATGGACTTTGACTCTTAAACTACATTTTAATACAACACGTAGTAGCTGGTAACATCTATTTTCGTCATGTGCATTGCCTCGTTGACCATAAAAATATAAAAATAACATCTGTCCTTAATTTCGTCCAGTCTAATCACATTTTGCATTGAAAGTAACTTATTAATATTTAGTTTAGGTAATATAAGCGTTGAGTTTTGTAAATATTGGTATTGTTCTGTGGCACTGTGGCATCCACCCTGTAACTACGTCGATGTGTCTGCTATTTAGTCTGTCTCGTCAACGAGGCTACTAGTCTGACCGCACACATCCCGAGCCCCTGCGGTCGCAACGACCCAAGCCGGCTAATCACGCTTTCAAAACGCAAAACTGGCTTTTCAAACACCAAATTAGAAACCACGAATTTTCGTGTACAAATATCGTACAAATGTTTGTATTTTCAATCAAAAGATCGCTAAAATAACTATTTACGCAGTAAGAATAGTTTCTCTTCGATATTATAATATCTACACTTCTATCACTTCGAATTTACAAGAGGTAATTACAATAAATATAATGCGCTTGTTATTTATTTCACCTGCACGGCATCATGTTGAATCACACAGGGAAATAATTTTGTACAATGTAACTTAACATCTTTATTATAGAGAGAACAATCGATGTTAAATATAATATCTGTCTAGGTATACATATTACAATATAACACTCGTCTAACAAATATCACAAATACATAATTTATCATAGTAGTCATAATTGAAAATGTATTTAAGAAGAGGTAAATTTAGAAGAGAGCTATTTAGGCTAACTATTCAATTCTGTTGGTCCAACATTCTGTAAATATAAAAATTCACTTCGTTGCAAAACTTTGCCAACCTTTAGTACGCCATTTTATAAGTAGAAAATAGACATTTTGAAGGCATATAGATTAAATACATAGTGGAATGTATAGTTCTTTTTTAAGGCTTTGATCATAAGTATGAAAATTACCCACTACATCAACATCAAATGGCAAATATTGAATGGTGTAAAGTTTTAATACATACTTTAGAATATTTTCGCGTGGACAATGCAGATTTATTAGGAAAATACTTCGCTAATAATAGATGCGCCGCAAGTATCATCGATACATATTTATTGCGCAATTTTATATGGAACAATTCATCGACTACGAATTTGCGCTAAAAGTATTCACGTAATGAGCAATCAGTATGTAGGTCCCGTAAGTACTTATTTATATAATATACAGGACTAAAATGTTTGTGCATAAATATGATTCATATAAGCTAAACTATATTTCAGCGTAGCGACGCATACTCTAATACCTACGTATAGTAGTTGTCATTCGATTTGTATTTCTTTCTCAGAACATTACGTATGATCGATTTTCTATCACCTATTACTATGAAATAATCTGGTAAAAAGATTTCCCATTTCTACGAATGCCAATACCTGCAGCTAATCTACTATTGTAGATGACCAGAATATATAGCGACGCACTAAGTGCTTAGATGTAAAAAAATCTTATGTTATATCCTATAAAAAAAGAAAGTCTTGTTCAATTATTAAATATTATTGAATATGTATTGCAACGGACCCTAAACTCCTACGGAACCCGATCTATAAAATTGACAAATGATTTGTATAACGGTAAGCGATGCGCTACTACATACACAATATAAACATATTCTACTCACTACTCTGTATTAGTACCATTTACTTAAATTCTAAACACATCGATTCAATTACAATTATATAAATATAAAACTTTATTTGCTAGCCCAAGTGGGTTAATATTCACTTTTATATACAAATATAAATTTATTTTCCGTAATATAAAGAAGGTAAATTTGAATATACAAGTCGTACAAATGGAGATGATCCAATTTTTAAAATAAATATACAGCTGCCGTCCATCAAAATAACTCTGCCCATGTAAGCACGGCGTACGTCAGCGCTATACAAATCTATTAACTAATACATCATAAAAACTGGACCATTCCCATTGAATTTAGAAGACTAGAACACTGGTCACAGATATTTCGGTATAGGCAAGGAGATTTTAATAGTTTTAGATCATTCACTCAAATTAAATATACACGTACTCACTCTCTCTCACTCTCTCGCACTCGTCATCCACTCTCTTCGTCAGCTAAAGTAACAATAAATTAACAGCCTGTGCAACCCCGAGTATTATCTCAAGCTCGTACATCTCACTTACAATGGACTGCACACAATAAATAGAATTTCATATATTCACATCTCCAATATAATTAAATCACAGATTCTATATTTCTTTCTGAATATTTCACCTACGTGTCTTTCCTACCTATGACGAGGTACACATTCATGTTGTCCTTGCCCTTGACGTAGACACTGCCGCGCGGCTCGAACTCGTACCGCGCCGACAGTACGGGGATGCAGGCCTCGCCCACCTGTATCCGCTTGGGCACGCCCGTCGAGTCCATGCGGGACGCTATGTTCACGGCATCGCCCCAGATGTCATAGAACAGCTTCGTGGTACCGATCACACCCGCCGTTACGTCGCCAAAGTTATACCCGATCCTTAGAATGAAATCAAACTCCAGCAAGTCTTGGTTGAAGTTATCCACCACCTTCTGCATCTCCAGCGCAAACTCCATGAGCTGGTAGAGATGGTCGTAAGTACCACGCGAGGCGTGCCTCAGGTCGGGATTGAGTCCACTAGCTGCCATGAAGGTGCTGCCTATGGTTTTAATCTTCTCGACGTGCTGGAACTCCGGCCGCTCCAACAGCTCGTCAAAGTCTGCTATCAGTTCGTTAAGTACTCGCAGGTATTCTTTCCCTTTCAAATATGACTCGTCGTACATTTCATTAAAATTAACTATACTGGCAAATATAATCGCGACATCTTTGTGGTTTTCAGAATACTTGGCCGTGTTTTTGAGCTGGTCAGCGACATGTCGGGGTATTATGTTGTGGAGCAACCAGTCGGCCTGATTCCTCATGTTCTGAACTCTCTGTTTGTCGCGGTTGGCTACCACGTTGCTGTAGAAACTCAAGCGGTAACTTATTTCAAACTCTCTGTTTAGGAACCAGACTAGCATCAGTAGTAACGCGACGTCCAGGTACAGCTCGGTCAGATGCAGCTTGTGTTGGTGACTGTCCACAACACCGATGGTGCTGTTGTTTACTTCCACCCAATCAAACATGGAATCGTTCACAAGACTAAATTCTGATGTATTCTGAGTAAATATTTGTGGGCTTAGCTTTAGTGTAATATCAGCATCTTGCAGCAATTGAGTATTAGCTTCGTGACAACCTAGCACAGCAAAAAATAGGAACAAACCAGCATAAAGCGTCACTAGAGTATTTTTCACAAGCCAGTTCATCTGAGTGAAGTTGCAGAAGTGCACTACACTGATGCACAACAGGTAAACGTAAAACGATTGTTCTCCTCGCAAGATCGTCATTGTAGTGTTCTCGCAAGAGAAATTGATGAGTACTGCCAGTATCGGCAAACTGATGAGCAACCCACCACACAAGTGCCACGGAAACCAGTTCGACAGCTTCCTGAAAATCCTTACAGACCGGGGAATGGTCTCCGAAAGCGCTTCGTGATTCGTCTTCCATTTTAGATAATGTCTATAGGAACAGAGGGACATGGCTACGATTTCTATACACAAGAAAAAAGCGAACCACCCTACGGAAGATCTCCAGTCACTGTACAACGAGAATATGGAAGCTGTGACCGCCAAAAAAATGATGGCAGACACTAAGATGTCTAACGCGGTGTTAAACCTAGAAGTGGTGAGTGTGGGCGGGAAGTCTTCGCTGTCGTCACTGCGGTGCGCTTTATCCCTGTAGTGTTTCTCTATTTCGGAGGATTTAAAGAAGAGCGTGAACCTGTTGAGGGGTGGCTGTACGAAGTAGTTGATGCCGGAGCGCGCGTTGTCTTGTACGCAGCGGATGAGCTGGAGGTCGGACTGTTTGCGCAGTTTCTGTAGCGACTGAACTTGTTCCTCGTTGAGCGGCGGCGGCAGGCGGCTGCGGGAGTGCTCGTTGAGCGAGGACTGGCTCGACGTGTAGTAACCAGACACCCGGTGCTGCATCATGTCGGGGTGCGACGTCGCTATGTGGTTTAGTGCGTAAATCTGTAAATAAAACCACACAATGATGTATTAAAATATACAAACAAATAAAACCTGAATTATTTTATTGTAAGAATACGTCACTGAGCTTGCGTTGACGTAAACCTCTAACGCATTTTTAATTACATGACGTTTATATAAATGTGACGCTCCTCGCTGTGACGCAATAAGTTTATAGTGATGTAAAATATATTAAATAAATTATCCTTGTAGACTAATGCAGAAGTGGTATCAGGAAATTCTCTCTCTTCTTTAGCGAGAAAAGATTGCTAAAAACTATGCTGTAGATTTACACAGATATTGAGGAAAAAGTAAATATTAATCCAAACAATAAAAACCAACAGGCAAGCCAAATATAATTTTCAAATGAGTTGGACATCCATTAGACAAAACGTTACGTTACGTGATTAAATGCGTTTTCCGTAAGGTACCAAACTACGTAAGTATCAACTTTATTTTCGTCATCCTCTTGACATACTTCAAGATCCCCTGACACTTAGAAATGTGACATTTGCCGAGATAATACGTCGATGACGTCATCGTCACCCGCTGGGAGAACGTAAAGTGATTTGTAACCAGAGGCCTTAGTACGAGTTTGTTTTACGTTAAAAGTAATCGTAACGAGTACGCGTTCGGCGCTGTGATTGGCCGGCTAAAATGAACCAACCAATCAGATTGCCGAACGCGTACTCGTTTCGAATACTTTAAACGTAAATCAAACTCGTACTAAGGCCTCTGACCTGTGAATGCTTCTGTAGGCGTAGCTAGCTATTCAAACTGTATGTTCATACGTATAGTACTAATATTACATTTTCAAGGAAATATGAGCTAGGAATGTAAGCCGGTTTATAATGGAAAAATATGAACCAAGTTTCATGCTCGCAAAAACATGAATGACCGTGATCATGCATTTTTGAATTTTAATCAACTATACATAAAGCTTAAATTCGAAACCAATTGCAATACAGCAGTCCAATGGAATGACGGACATGGTTTATGACTGCAGCACACTGCTCTAGGGGAACCTGTTTATAATTTTATTAAAAGCATGTTTATGATGCGTTACCATTTCATGAAAAATCTTCGCGCTGTTACTCAAATATGCGTCAAGTTTATTTATATGTTTGAAATAAGTTGATTTACAGACACACATGCTGGACGAATTTATGTCTGTTTACTTACGTTATAAGTAAAAATAGGAACATCAAAGTTGACCTGTTGCTGTATGCTGGACCGGCGGCTCGTGCTCCGGATGCCGGAGTCCTTGCGACTGTTCACTGAAGGACACAGGCTGATGACGTCATCCGGCGGCCGGGACGTCTGCGGTGATGGCAGCGGCAAGTTCAACTTTCGCTCCTTGGGACGGATCAGCTCGTCCTGTGTTGTGATCGTTGAACTTCGAGCTCGACAAACTGGCACCTACAATGTTTTCGAAACTATATTCCAATACCTATTATAAAATGAGTGATAACTCCTTATTACCAACTAATACGTGGTAATTGTAAGTTTACACGAGTATATTTTCGCTTACGTTGTATTATACATATCGGTAATAAATCAATTCGCACACGGCCCGTCTCGTGCGCAATCATTCTATCGAAACGCGTCAGGATAATATAAAATGTACATATATTTCAACTGTGGACTAAATATAAAATTATGTATTCAAATGCATAAAGATCGCATCGAATGTAATCATTATCAGAAACTGAATCGAGGAACGCTTTATTATAATAATTATATAATCATAGGAAAATATCGTCGCGAGTTTTCCGTGACCCTCGGTCACGACAAAACTAATTCAAATGATAAACACAGAAACACTGAAAGTTACATGTCCGCCATGGCTGGGCAGCGCGACGTGGAGCAAACAGGCGTGTTATTGTAAACATCGTTAGTCAACATACTACTATTACGGAAATAAATGCTCATTACGAACAATGCGTGCACTCCACATAACAATATGTATTAGAAGACCAGCGGGTAATAATTATCACAAACGAGTTGCGCAAACTCCAGTATCTTTAACGACTCACATTGCCCCCGAGTCAAGGGCGAGGCTATAAAGTTTATTTCGTTTCGTAACCAAAACTTTTGATAATCTCGCAAAGATATAAACCTGAGATAAGATGCTACAAAAACCAACATCGTGATAGTTCAAATATGATTCTATTAATATTTTTATATGGCAGCGAGGCGAGCGCGGGTAACACACGGCCCCGACATGCAGATCGTCTTAAAACGGTTCTTATCACAATCTGTACGTATCAAGACGCGTATAATACGTGTCCCAGTGACCAACGTCTTACAACAAAGCACTCAAGCCTGACACAAACACCGCTTACTCAGTCTAACTGACGTCATAAATATATAAACATTTCCTTCCGAAATACATTTGAATAAAAATAATAAGTAATAATATTTACCTCAATATTGTTCGATCTTCCATATTGAGATCGGTAGCTGCTACTTCTGGCGAAGGGCGACATGTTGCTCCTGGACTGGCTCAAGTATGATCGTATGTCGATGATTTCTCTCTCGAAGGACGCCATGTCGTGACTCAGCGGCGGTATGTTCAGCTTGATGGTACTCTGCGCCGGCCTACCCTTATTGTCTTGAGATTCTATCACAATAGGCACTTGCTGGTAACCATTGCTGGACTGCGTACCGGCCACCGTGTCACCCCGCTCCAGGAAATGTATGGATTTGTCAGCCAACTCCTGCTTTTTCATCTCATGAAGCGGAGTATCAGAATGCTTCCGTAAAAATCTAGGCACTTTCCAATTTTTCAGTTTTGTCGTGTATTTGCCGTAGCTCCCTAAAAAATTATAATTTTCTTTAATATACAATACTTATATTGCATTAATAAAGTCAACCTGATCATAAGATGATTAATGATTAGGTATGAATATAAAACACTACCTTAGCATAGAAAACATACGTAAATAAGAATTCGAATCAACCAAAACTTGGATAGATAAATAAGAACGGAAAATCCAACACTCTTATTAACTTACTAGACATTGCGAAGATATGTGTTGTATAAAATATACAACCAAAATTATTGAAATCAATTTAGATTTAAATTTCATCTTATCGTTTATTGTTAAGCTTATTTATGCATACCTACATTAACATAGTTCTCGTTAGAATGCTATTTCTGTTTGTAATAAAAGCCAGAGAAATCTATAGTGACTTTAATAGTTCGGCTATAAAATCGAATTCTGTTAAATGTTTACAGTTCATTGGCTCAATATACGAAGATTGCAAATTATGCGATGTGGATAAGTCTAATTAATAGACTGTAATGCAAATTGGACTAAGCAATATTTCGCTTTGCTATTTTCCCTCGTATTATAGGAGAATGACTAATTCAAATCATCCTACTCAAGTCGTGATCTGTGTGACAAAGAGCATCACCTTCACGTAACGGAGTCACTCTATATCTTATCAGCCTCTGCCTTATTCAAGAGATAAATAACACTTTTCTACGGTTCATCTCGAGTTTACACTGGACTCGAACTCAATTGTGATTTTATATTTAATTAATTGCATAATATTTCAGCTAGTAGGGATTTGGATAAAACCTCGATTCGTTTTTGTATGCATTTGTTATCCCAGTTGATCGTTACATACGTCGATCTATCACATTAAACTGTCAAACACCAAGCGGTCACCGGTGACCGCGTTCTTTAATTGTGTCTATAAAACCGGTACTCGACGAGTTAATAGTTTTTTGTCAATAACAAAACAACTCACCTACGGACGTAGGACTCTTCGACGAGCTGTTAGTTTCGGGGAATCCCTTTTCCCTCTTCTCGTCGAGTTCAGTGTCGGAATCCAATATACTCGGCAGTGAACTAGCTTTTGTTCGGAAATGAAATGCACTTGGGGAAAGGAAGTTCCTACAATCAGCTTTTCTGGATCTATCGTCAGCTTTAGGCGACATCGGCAGGGGGGAGTGATTGCAGGATAGGACGGATTGAGGAGATGCTGCAGGCGATATAATCAGGCGTAAGTTTATAGGATTGGAGGGAGTGAGGCAGTTCTCGTGGCAGTAAGGGGAGTATAGCTGACGGCCTTCAATAAAATAGGTTTTATGACCTGGATAAAGAGAATTGGTTTTAGAATGTGTCCACAATACTAACGACCGTGCAATCGTATGTCTATTTATAAACCCACTCACCGAAGACGTCATCGCCCTCTTCTAAGATATAGGAACCCCCGAGAAATTTTGCAGTCTCTTCTGATATGTGAACGCGACCTGGCTTTCCAGTGGACTCCATTTTGTTGGCGAAACTGACATCATTACTCCAAACATCGAATTTGAACCGACGTGTGCCCACTATACCGCAGAGTACGGTACCTGTGTGCACTCCGACTCTCATATTTATTCCTTCGCCCCGAACTCTATCGAACTCCTTGATGGCGTCTATCATTCCTGGAACATTTGTGAGGGATTAATGGATAGTAATATTTTCGTTATTATACTACAAAGCGAACTGTCTAAAAGTAAAAATAAATATACCAGTGTTTTTGTCAGTAATTTTCCGAGATAAGACAAAGTATTTAATCACATATAACCTAGTTGTCTAGATGATAGCTTTCTATCAATACAAGCCACTTACCCAATCCCATTTCTACACAGCACGTAGCATGATCCGGCCTGGGCTCAGGACAGCCAGACACGCAATAATAACAATCACCCAAAGTAGAAATTTTCTCACATCCATGATTTTGGCATAACTCGTCAAACTTCTCAAAGAGATCATTTAATATATTTACTAATTCTTCAGCACCCTTGTTACTTGACATCTTGGTAAAGCCAACGATATCGGCAAATAGTATACTGACGTTGTCCATTGAGCTCATGTTGAAAGGCCTAAATAACGACTTGATATCGGACGCGCCGGGATTTGAATGACGGGGTTTGAGCGGATTGTGTGTCTTTATATTAGTCTCAGTTTCGAGCACTTGTTCCTCCAGCAACCAGCTCGCGACTTTCGGCGGCATCACCGAGTGTATCATCTTCTCCTTCAGCTGTTTCTCCATTTCCAGTTGCTTCCTTACTAACAGACTCTGCCCTACTTTCATAAAGGTACCGCGCATTCTCACAAAGGTCATAAGGTATATATGAACACCAATTATGTGAACACAAAGTTGCAGCAAAATTCTTACAAACATTCCAGGGTACTGCCATTCTTGCTCTGACAAATGTAACACAATATTCAGTACTTCAAACACTATTGAATACAAAATTCCAATGATAACACAGGCATACAGCGGTAAAGGTGTCAGTGTATATATAATCAGCAATATTTCAATGCACATGGTGAAGTGTCCGGACTGGCTGATGTCGGCGGCCTGATATAATGCAGTGTCTGACCGTGTGGTGAGTGTCACCAGTGACAGGCTGAGGGTACACAGAGCGAGTGCCATGACCAGGGATAGCTTGAATGTGTACACTTTGTATATGTTTGTAAAGGTAACAAATAGCATAACAGATGTTATCAAGAGGACTCCACCAAATATAGAACATAAAAACGGCCATTTTAATGTAATGCCATTCAAACCAAGGGCCACAAAGTAGACAAACCATGATATAGAAAATATCAAAATGTATAAAAGTGCAAATCTGAAAACAAGAAAAAATAAAAACATCAAATATATTTAGTCAATGATAATAACAGTGACAACAAGCAATTTATCAGTTAAATTACAATCATGCAAGATTCTTACACAATTACATTATAAACTTACCTAAATCTTAGTCTTATTTGTCTAAAGGAACTACTTCTGTATTGGCCTTCAAGTATCTCAGAATCAAACCTAGGATTCCACCAGGTTCCTGTTGCAGCCCTCTCAAAGGCAATGGGTATAGTGAGGCCGCAACAGTTGGTGGTGGGATTGTTGCGTGCCAGGTAAGCTTGCACATGTGGTGCCAGTCTAATCTGTGCGTCCTCACCCTCTGAGCAGTCTGCATCATGTTTGCTATCAAACTGTTGCGACCCATCACTGCAGCTGACACACCCACTTGGAGCATTCATTTTATGAAATATTTCATGTTACCCATTGCTAAAGCATACCAACACCAACTCTGGCCATATTTGACTCTGTTTAGGAAAAGTAACTATTTTAATATCATTTGTATCCATGATTCATCTTCTTTGTTAAATATATTGAACCTAAGTACTTTTGTCAGTTTTTTCTGTCTAATCATATCAGCGACAAGATAAAATTTCAAATAAGAAATACCTTTGTTTTCTCAATAATAAATCTAATCAAAGTATGGTAGGAGTAGTAACATGATAGTTGGCCAATAGGAACTTCTTTTTAGTTACCTACAATAGCCCTACAATGTTACTGGTATTTAGAAATGATAAAAAGCTAGTTTAGTGACACCTAATTTACCTGGAATAGCAGATTGAAATTGTAGTTACTACAAGTTTTTTGCATTGTATAATAGCAACCTAATCAGGTGCACAACAAAACAAATTAAAAGATAAACTTACATCATCTTGGGCAGTTAACAAAACATAAGAACAAGTAACTACCTAAACAATTTGAATGTAACTACATAGGTACTTGATTTATTTTTCAAGGGAATTAAATGTTGCTACACTTTATTTTGAAAATTTAATATAACATGTCCAATATCATTTCATGAACATTAGTCAGGCATATCTTTGGTAATGTTTTTATCACATTATCAGAACTAGGTTGTTTTTAAAAATCGGTCTATGACACAGACTGTAATTGGTATTATTCAGAAAATAGAAATAAAATACCTAACAGTTTCAAACCACAATCACAGAATGAACTTGCATAAATAAAACTCAAGAAATATTAGATTTTACTAATAATTTATGAGTATGATAGTATAGAAATAATCAGTATTGAAAATTCATCAATAAACATTTTTTAAAGAATATTTAGTACAGTAATCGCAATCTCTCAGCTGTGAAGCTGAAAACCAGAAAACATTACTCTAACATGACGAAATAAATATTTAGCTCTCTATTTACGTCCTTCAAACTCAAATACAAATCAATATTTACATTCCTATCGAAGTATTTTACTACTAATGAATTGTTTTTAGTTAAAATAAGTATTTTTACTTACCAAATCATTCTCACTTGAAATTCTTGACGTTTATTGATCAAGGTTATTACAGATCAGTCCAATGTAAGTAATTACAAGCAAATTTGAAAACATTAACATGCTCACTTTTCTTTCATGAAAAATCAGTTAATCATAATTTATCACAAGAATCGAAATGAAGAGTAAAAAATCACAAAAAGACACACAATCCACACACTTTATATCTGTTAGAGATGTTCGCATGACATTATTGAGTGCGGATGAATATGAAGTAAATCTAAATCGATGTAAACTCTATATTTAAAAATCTGGGTTAGTCGATTTATTAAAAATACAATTCGATTTTCGAACATTTCAATAGTAGCTATTAAAATTAACTATTTAGTATATCACAAGTATAATAATTATTTAAAATTACTACATAAATTAGTAATTTCATTGATGATCGCAAATATAACATATTTATTTCTCGACAAAGTAATCATACCGAGAACCTTGCTAAGAACTAAGACGAACTAGAATGTTCTAGTTACATTTAAAATAAGGCAAGAAATAATCGTCTGGGATTGGGATCAATATTTTAGAATAAATAATTTCGTAGTTTCAACTACGAAATTATTTATTCATATTTCGTAGTTGAAACTACGAAAATATTTATATACGTTGAAACTTTTAATAGCTACGATTTTAGTTTTTAGTCAGGTGAATTTAATTATGTAAGTAGGGAGGCAAAATGAAGTCGGTAATAATAACAGCACAGCACTAAAGTAAAACAGACAGACTTTTAATTTTCTTTCCTTCTTTTTTTCAAAAAACGTTGTTCCACACTAGGTTTATCTCCCGTATCGTGGGTGCGTTTACAAATAATACAAGAACACACAAGGCATTGCTCCTTGTGGGAATCGAACTCGCTTCACGTTGTACGGCAGTCGGTTGCCCAGCCACGGCGCCAACCATGCAGAGGGCCAAGCACGAATAACTATCGCATTGTTACGATACGAATGCGATAGTTATTCGTGCTTGGCCCTCAGGTCAATAACTGTAAACTGCAAAAGACGTAAGCAGAAGGGGGCTACTTTGAAGCACCTAACATACTGTATTAACTTAATAGTTGACAGAGAATTGAATCAGGGACCCTTCGTCGGCTTGGCCGAGTGGTCGCAAGTGCGACTGCCGGGCAAGGGGTCTCGGGTTCGATTCCCGGGTCGGGCAAAGTATGGAATTGTATCCGGTATATGGCAATAGGCTTACCCCCTATTACATGGGACTCATAACATAAATAGTGAAGTGGGTGTAACATTGTACAGTGGCATTCAGTGCTGTAATGAGCACCTCTGCCTACCCCTTCTGGGATGAAAGGCGTGATGTTATGTGTGTGTCAGAAAAAGTAATAAAACTTCGGTAATTTTAACATAAAACAAGTCTGAGGCTAGAATTCTAGAATAACAATTTATGATAGAAGATTGTGTATGAAGTAGGTACTGTAGTGAAATAAAAACAATAATATAGCATTGGTGTTTGAATTTTATTAATGAAAAACTTTTTAGAAAAAATATATTACTCCATAATGCATTATAACTAATTACATTAAAATGCTATGAAAGTTATCACTAAAAATATTACTAATGTGCTGGGACATATAATTTAAACTTTATTAGATAAGAAAGAAAAAGTAATCAATCAATAGCAAATGCAAAACATATGAATTGAATCCATAATTTAAATTAAAATATTCAATATAAAAAATATTACTATTTATGCATAATCTGAAATCATTTGAGACCGCATAATCTTAATAATACATTATTTGGTAACTACAATGAAAACTTGTTAGCACAAACCATTTGAAATCAACAAAGGTATGTATGTATTAAATAATTATAAATTATCACAATAACGATCTAATAAATAACTTACATTAAAAGGAAGACTTTTTTCACTTAAGAAAATTTTCTCGCTACTACAAAGAATTGTTCATGTTTGATTTCTAATATTAATATAATGTAAGGCACATTTCGAGCACCACCTTTTTAATTATTGTCATCTCCACATTGAGTCTTCAATTGTATATAATATACTCTTTCTCGGCCACCATATCAGCCAAATGTAAATAAGCTATGCTATGCAATACATCTATAACAATATGATTTAGTTAACAGAACAATATTTAACAATTAGAATTGCTGCCAATTTCATAGAACATTTAACATTTATAAAAACAACTTCAAGAAAAGTTGTTCTCTTTAAAAATAGTAAAAAACCACTGGCCTTTCACTTGTTTATCACACAATATCAGATATAATATCTCTCTTACAATAAATATCTCTTTGCAATATCATTAAGTAGGAAAATTAGTAGGAAATTAGTTTTTCATTGATTTCAGCACAAATATTAATCATTATACATGCCATCAAGCAAAAAGTCCATCCTTTTATAATGCCTGTTTTTCCAAGCCTCTTGGCCCCTTCGCAAAGCCATGTAACCAAGTACTGCAAACATTGGAACTAGCAAAATGGTTATTACAATAGGCATTATCATCCCAGGGTGACTATTAGCACTCTTAGTGTAGATTTTTATATCTTTATTGGGAGATTGGATTTGATTAGTTATCAATGTACCTGGAGATGACTTAACAGTCATGTTCGCTAGAGTGTCATAAGATAACAGTAATGGTTTCTTAGGAATTTCAGTTTTATTCACACCTTTCACAACATTATTAAACTGAGAAGTGTTAACCTTAGATTCCATTGAATGATTTGTTGCTACTGTTTCATTCTTGACATCAACAGTCTTTTCTAATATTTTTGGAGCTACAACAGGGATTTCATTGCTAGTTGATGTTTTATTCTGTTTCTCACCATCATCTTCTATGTAAACAACCCCCTTCCTTGCAACAACTGGTTTAACTTTAGTTTTGCCCAACTCGCTATCTAAGCTGGTAAGTTTTTCTTTAGGTAAAGCCAGAATAGATGCCCCAACCCCGGGTAATACAGCTCCGCCTTCAGTTAGCAAAGTTTCTTTCGTTGCATTGGATTGATTCACCTTTTGAGATTCAGATTCAGTTACAGTTTTATTAGTTGGCTCCAGTTTAGCAACTGTTGTATTGCTGCTGTTAACTATTGGAATTAACAAAATATGACACAACACAAGATAAAATATCATTTTGTACAAAACCAAAACTATCGAAAATTAAAAAAAATCTTGTAAGTAAACTCATACAAGTCACAAAAACATCAGGAATCAAATTGTTTTTGACATTGTCAGTTGTGACGTGTGAAAAATCATAGAGAGTAGGGAATACATCAAACAGAAACTATCTGAAACTCGGTTTTAGTAATCGACTATAGAATGTTGTCTTGTCGCAAAAAAACCATAATCTGGTAAATGTCAAAATAAAAAAAAATATTGTCAAAATTATGTTTGACAACTGCGACTTTCAAATGACACAATAATTTTTAGTAAAATGATAAATAAATAGTGATTTACTATTGAGAAGCACCACGCGATAATGTTTAATTAGAAGCCAAGTGATTGAAAATGAAGTTTTTACGTGTTTTCTAACTTGTGTAAATTACTACCAAAATGAGGACTCGTAGTAATTCAGGGGTGCGTTTAGATTATTACCAGCGGGTTGTGCACAAGCTAATTTTAGATCACCAGCAGCCTGTGACAGGATTGTTTCCCGCAAGCCCTCACAATGATCATGCTTGGATTAGAGACAACCTTTACTGTATTTTGGCAGTATGGGGACTATCTATGGCGTTTAAGAAAATTGCTGATCAAGATGAAGACCGTGCCAAAACATATGAATTAGAGCAAAGTTGCGTCAAGCTAATGAGAGGTAATTATTTCAAGTTACTCTTGTTGCAGTCCAATATGTATAATATAACATTGTATAAAACATAAGAAACCCATTGAAATTTTTTTTTAAATCATCCCCTAAATTTGTTCATACAAAAGTAGTCTCTAAACATTGGAAATAAGGTCTATAATATTGTTAGTGGAGAGTGGTCGCCGGTGACCACTTGGGGATATACGGGTTAACTCAGAATACCTACTCAATTAGTCTAGCATACAACTGACTATTGTTATTACCTAACTATAACTTTATAATGCATACATCATCAATTGTGAAATTCATCATTGGGCCGAATGCTCTAAAGATACTGATGGCATACCTACTTAATTATTTATATCATAGATTATTTGCTTGCTTTAAACTCAAACTTTTCCATAAATCTTGGACTCCCAGTAATTTAAAGGACTTGCACATAGAATAAAATTTTGGTTTTTTCAGGTCTCCTTATGGCTATGATGCAACAAAAAGACAAAGTAGAGAAATTCAAGAGTACTCAGCACCCCTTAGATTCTCTCCATGCCAAGTATTCTTCTACCACCGGCCGCATCGTGGTCAAGGACACAGAGTGGGGTCACCTACAGATTGATGCTATCTCCCTCTACCTTCTCATTCTTGCACAGATGACAGCATCTGGACTTCAAATTGTTTTCTCTTTAGATGAAGTTTCATTCATCCAGAATTTAGTGTTTTACATTGAATCAGCTTATTGCACTCCTGATTATGGAATTTGGGAAAGAGGTGACAAGACTAACCATGGTCTGCCAGAGTTAAATGCCAGCTCCATTGGCATGGCAAAAGCAGCTCTTGAAGCTATGAATGAGTTGGACTTGTTTGGTGCTCGTGGTGGTCCTTCTAGTGTTATTCATGTGCTGGCTGATGAAGCCCAAAAATGTCAGGCTGTACTGCAGTCCATGCTGCCAAGAGAATCAAATAGTAAAGAGTTAGATTCAGGTTTACTGTCTATTATAAGTTATCCAGCTTTTGCTGTAGATGACCCCCAGTTGATTGCAATAACAAGGGACACCATTGTTGCTAAACTCCAAGGAAAATTTGGATGCAAGAGATTCCTCAGGGATGGACACAAAACACCTAGAGAGGATCCCAATAGGCTGTACTATGAGCCTTGGGAACTTAGGATGTTTGAAAACATAGAATGTGAATGGCCATTGTTCTTCTGTTACCTGATATTGGATTATTGTTTTAAAGGTGATAAAAACAATGTGACAGAGTACACACAGTTGTTGGAAAAGATTATGCTGAGGAAAGATGATGGTATCAAGTTGGTTCCTGAACTGTATTCAGTGCCACCTGACAAGGCTGACCTGGAACAGCAGAATCCTGGAAGCCAGGAGCGAATACCCTTGGGCAGGTGCCCCTTCATATGGGCCCAGTCTTTATACATTCTAGGAAAGTTATTACAAGAGGTAAAATCTATGTGTCCATGTATACTGTGTTTTGGTTATTCCTTTTCTATTTGATTTATTCTCAACTTTGATAATTTTCAGGGTTTCCTAGCTGTTGGAGAATTAGATCCTCTTAACAGAAGGTTATGTTCAGAGAAAAAGCCTGATGTGGTTGTTCAGATTGTGATTCTTGCTGAAAATAATGAAATCAGAGATAAATTGCTAGAGTATGATCTGCATGTGCAAACTATCAGTGATGTGGCTCCTATTGAAGTCCAACCAGCAAGAGTTTTAAGCCATTTGTACACATATTTAGGTAAGTAATCAAGGTACATCTTTGAGAACAAGAAAAACTAAGTTATTATTCTGAATAACATATTAGTGTGACTAGTTCTCAGAATATCATACAGTATTTTCTGACATATTTTAAATTTAACTAATAAAAAAATTACTTGGTACCTGCAGGTCGTAACAAGAAATTAGGTTTATCTGGCAGAAAATCCCGTGATGTAGGTATTTTAAGTACAAGCAAACTGTACTCTTTGAATGACCGCATATTCGCATTTACACCACAGGTATGATACAACCTCATTTCTTTATCTCTCTATTTGCAGAGCAATTGCAACATTTTACTGATTTCTTTTAAGTTATGTTATTGTTTTATATAGTTTATTATTTGCTGCTTTTTTAAAAAAATGCATAATTCAAAATTTTTGTTTAATTTACTAGTTTTCTGACATGACACGTTTCTACATCGCCTCTGACTACGATCTTATGGTTGACACCCTCAAAGCAGAAATAAATTTCTTGAAGTCCTCTTGGCAAAACCTTCTTGGTCGACCACTTGTTGTCTTGACTCTGAATAAAATGCACCTGGGTATTGTTTTATTTCTTTATTACATTTAAAAAATTGCTTGCTGGTTTTCCCATCCAATTTTTAGAATTGGTCATTCACAAATAACATGTACCACAAATAATGTTACTTTGAATGTTAATATGTTTGAAAAGGACTCACATAGTTTAGGAATACGTAGTGTAATGCTAGAATACGTAACTAAAACTATACTAAGGTGATCTTTAGTTCTCCTTAGTTACAGCAGTATTTCTGTCAAACTGTGTTGTCGGTAAATTTTCTAAGATTTACATGATACATAGTGGCAAAATTGACAGACAATTAGAAGTGTCCCTATTGCTCCCTTTACCTGCATCATCCAGAGTCTAGACCCTGTATTGTAGTAAAATATAAACAATAACTAAAAACGTATTCACCATGAGTGTAGCTAGGATCATATTTTAACAATTTATTTCTTTATATTTTTACCACTACCATAGTTTTTCATATTCAATCCCTGGCTATACTCATGTCCCCTACTATGTAATAACCCCTGCATGGGTGTGGTGTGTCATAGAACTTCGACTACGAAGAATACTACATGTCGCGCGACCCGGCGCTCCTCGCCAGCACGTTCACGGCTAACGTCGCGTTCCTTGGCATGAGCTGGAAGCAAATGCTTGGCCGACCGACGATCACATTACTCGCTACGCAGTATTTGTTAGGTAAACGATAAAACGAATAATAATAATAAATTCTTTCTATGATTTTTCTTTCTTTTTTGCGTGTAAAGGTGTTTGGCGTCTAAAGACTAATACATGTAAAAGTGCTTATTAATTCTAGAGCGACTGTTTATTAAAATTTATTTAGGTAATTGTTATATTCACGATGGAAGAGAAACTTTTTGTGAACTTGTAAGTGCGCTGAGAGATGCTTCTTTAACTTTAACCGCCTAATAACCCATTTGACGCTATTATATACAAATAAATTAATCAAATGTGCCATTCGCCATTACACACTTAGTTTTAAATTAATTTATTTAGATTAGTACCTAAAACTTTCCAATAAAATTAGTTTTTTGCGTTAATGCTTTCTTCATTAAAGTACCCACATTTTTATTGCTTTATTCTGGTGGCTGGGTGACTGGGTCTTATGGTTGGTTTATGAAGCAAGAATTGGAATGTTTTTGGTTTGCCTTTCCTCCTGTTTAACTATTTCCAAAAACACAATATTAACTCATCATGTACATGCTTTCAAAGCGCTTGTGGTGATTTATTTATTTTTACAATGGAACGTCTTTAAATCGAACTTCGAGAATTCTTACACACATACGAAAACGAGAAAAATATCCGATTTTCTCGCTCTTTCCCTCTTTCTCTCTCTCTCTCTCTATGTCGCTTCCTCCCGTCCGCTCTGTTTATCTCTTCGATGTTTTTGGGCTCTAGAAGTTCAATTTAAAGAGACTTTATTCGTATAGATTGTCAGTTCTATTGTCCGTATTACAGATCAGGGTAAAATCCCAATGGCGATGATAACGACTATGAAAAAGCTTAAATCTGGTTACATCAACGGTACAAGAGTAACTCTTGGTAATCTCGGAGAGTTTTTGAGCACATCCGCCATTACTAATTTGAGTTTCCTTGGCAGTCAAGAGGATGGATATCCTGATAGTAAGTTTGCTATATTACCCTAAAAAATACCAGCTTAAAATAATATAAGTAATAGATTCTGTCTATCTTTTCTTTTTTTATATAAATGACGGCAAATGACTTAAATAATGTTTCTCTTTATAATTTCAGAATTAAACCCAGAAGTTCAGAGTTATTTAGAAGAGCACTTATTAAAGTCGTTTAGCAACAAGATCAACTTCCTGCCACGTCCAGCAGGAGCTAGGAATGCGCGCGCAATGCGCCGCCGTATGTCAGTGCGTGGAGCTATTAAGAAAACTAGATCTATCAATGTGGATTGTACGTATAATTTTTAACCTTATCTCCTTGGTATAGGGTTTAAAACTTAAGATAGATGATAATACACTTCGCCTCCTGCAATCGTGGATCTTATTCCAATAAGTATAAAGTGTAGATTTGCATGTTATATCTAATTAGTAGTGTTTACTTATTTTCGACAATAACATCTATAACGTTTGTGCAGAAACTGAGCATGCGGGGGAATGTTTTTAAACAAATATCAGTTTAATAATAACTTATTTGATTTGCAGCTGAAACGTTAGGTATGGAAGGAGAGTCAGTGGGTCGTTCTTTGGAGCGTAAGCCGTCGTGGCTTGATGTGGACCCTGCTACGTATGGACGCAGTCCGTCGCCTGAGGATGCTAAACGCCGAGCGTTCACTAAGTAAGTATTTTAAACAGAACTTACTATTTTTGCGCAATTTGCGCTAACTTGGCTACGTAATGCGCAAAACTTCGACATTCTTTTCTAAAAGAATGTCGAAGTTTTTTATGGTTTGTAATTCTGTTGTTTTTCCTTTTAGGGGAACATCGACGACGTCTTTAGCCGTCTCCACACCTACCATTGAAGTGACAAAAGAAAAGTCTCCGTCACCACCTGAAGGTAACAAAAAGTTTTTAAGTGTCATAAGTAGAAAATAAAGAATAACGATTGGGAAGTTTTTATATTTATTTTCAAGAAAAATTTTACTTTAAGAGACGTATTCTTATTTCAGCGATAGTAAACAAGAATCTTACGAACATAGTTCGCAATCGCACCACTTCAGAGTCCCAGAACTCTGTATACGCTGAACAAGAGACGGACGAGCTCATCGCCATGTTACGTGAGACTGAGAGTCTGGACGAGCAGGGAGACATACTGCAGTATCTCGTCGATACTCATGGACTGGACTTTAGTACAGGTACCGACAGACTGCTATGACTTACTTTGACTTGTAGTCCTATGTACCCTAGATGAGCCAGAGGGCGTCCACAGAGGTTCTACATTTCGATGGGTCTTGAACTTCTCGCTTCACCTCGCTCCACGTTATTCCGATGCTAATTATGATGTTAATTTTGTTAAAATTAACTAATCATTTCTTTCTTTCTTATTTCTTATAATCAACTATATAACGAAAACTACGAAATCAATGTGTACTCAGCCACTCTAATTATTAAGTGTGCTATATTTGATACGATGTCATTTGATGTGCTAAGATGGCACAGTTTTTGATTATTTCCATACTAAGTGAAAAATTCATGAATTCCGTATATCATTGGTAGTTAAAAATTAAAAATATTGTTCTCAGGCATGCAAGAAAACGGGAAAATGGTGACCGTGAAAGACCTTTTAAAGGTTCTTTACGAGAAGGCTTGTACTCAAAAGCTCTGGGGACTCGTCCGTCACACGGCGGGTATGCTCGGCAAGAGAGTTGAGGACCTCGCAAAGGCTGTAACGGATTTGTTGGTGCGACAGAAACAGATTACTGTGGGCATGCCTCCCAACAATGAACATACTATCACCGCTCCGTTGCCAGAGAATGAATTGAGGCAGCTTATACATCAGGTAAGGCGTCTAATGTTATGGATACTTGTTTGTACACTATACTTTATATCCCATTTTAGAACTGTGGACTGTGACGTTGCATGGCAACAAGCTTGTATTCACCGCATCCGCATGTGTTGTTGGGTATAAAGTAGGGTTCGGAGTTTAAACACGCTAGCGGCGCCATCTAATGTGCGCGAAAATACGACTACAAATCGAGTATATATTGGAATATGCTGGATTTTAATTATAAAGATGACTGAGTTAATAATAATAATATAATATTTTATAAACTAAGCAATATCATTAAACATTGCAAAGATTTTATTCGAATCAATATGACACGCTGACGAGTAGAATATTATGTAAGTTGAACCGCTATAATAATGTTAGCTTTAATATTTGTTGCATGCAGTCATTTCGTCATGAAAATCAAGGGAATGAACAGAAGAAGGTAACAAATACAGTTATATAACAATGACTAACGTTCATACCTACCTGTGTTATCATCGTAACTGTACGCTCATTGCTTTTTATTATTACGTTCTACGAATTATTTTACTTAAACATTGTTCTACAAAGAATTTATTCATCGGACCACTTTTTCAATTAAAACTGGTTAGGTATTAATTATGTCTATCCAACACTAAAATATGGGAATTTCACACCTGATTAAAAATTTTTGACTAGAAATGCGATGTCTCTCTTGGATTATACAATTAAAGTTTGACTAAGCATATAAATGTACGGAGCGTTCCTAATCAGCGTGCTTTTATTACCATCATTATAAGAAGTGCCTATGTAAGGATCGTAGGTGGTGCTCTGTAGTTTCTGCCTATTAAGACAAAGGCGTGCTTCGACTACATTATATAGACATTTCAATGCATATATTGAGGATCACTTTTGAAGCGTAGTAAGTTAAAGAGTAATGGTGTGTACAGGCGTATGGCGACGACGAGAGTACAGCCATGTTGACTCAGGAGCTGCTGGTCTACCTCGCCATGTTCATCCGCACTGAACCACAACTCTTCCTAGAGATGTTACGACTTCGTGTCGGACTTATCATACAGGTAATTCTCAACTTCCTCTTCGATAGTTTTCTTTTATTACTTTCGAATTGAAGCTGTCAAACTTATATAATAAAGTTCAAAATCTTTTAAAAAAGACAGATTGTGTATTGCGATTGCTGGCGTCACTGGTTACCTTACAAGGAAACTGCCTTGTGACACTTTGCTTAACTTTTTATGATGTTTAGTACTTCGGTAGACATAAATTGGTCTATCAATTTTTTTCGTACAGGTTATGGCCACAGAGCTGTCGCGAACATTGTCATGTGATGGTGAAGAGGCGTCTGAACATTTGTTGAACTTATCACCTTTTGAGATGAAGAATTTGTTACATCACATCCTCAGCGGAAAGGAGTTTGCCATTAATAGCGGTAAATATTAATAGTACCTACTTATTAAAATAAGGATATGATTTAGAACTACATATTTAAATTATGTTTTCTTAAAATCACATAGCATCTCGTGAAATTAAAAGCTACTGTTGCTTAATTTCTACATCTTATACATTTTCTATACTTAATTTACCACATATGTATTTGAGAAGCTACAACTCTGAACAAATGTTTCCCTTTTTGCAGCGAACTCACTATTTGTAATAAAAGGAAAAATCAGTAAAAGTAAAGGCGAGTGTATGACAACCGAGTATTGCTTATGTGTATGTCTGAACGCACCCTGTTGTCACCTTTGTCTGTCACTTGCACACGATTTTGTACCTAATGTGTGGCTATTATGGTCCTAAACGTGTCGTAATTCCCATGTATTCTAAAACTGAAGTTAGTTTACCAACTACAAATCTGTAAAATTAGCAGATAGTATTTTTTATATAACAGGAGTTTTGTGTTCTTGAGAGAAAATAAATAGAATACGTATCATACTATATAATATTAATAGAATCAGTAACACCTGTATAATTATGATAGTTCCCTTCATTGTTTTTGTAAATAGATAGCCAATACTTTTGATGCCCTAACATCGCAGCTTCGATCAATACTAGTTGATCGAAGCATCAAACCCTCTAATTATGTTTTTGTGTACCTAAATAATGTATTTTTAACTTCATATTAATTTCTGATTGACTTGTTTGTGTCCCAATTAATAACTGTTTTATTCGTGAGAGTTTTTTTAGTAAAATAATGTGTCTTAAAACTAGTTCCTTTACTTACAGTTGGTCGCGGTAACTTCTCTATAGTGAGCAACAAATCTCATAGATATGGAAAGAAGTCACAGATTGTTCTAGAGGGCCAGTCTCTACAGGGCGGAATTGAAGAAGGTAATTAACTATTATCGGAGTATTTGCTATAATTTTGACACATTTAAGCATTGATCATTTTGACTGAACACTGAACAGTTAGTTCAGTGGCTGTGCATTTTGTGCAACTGGTTGCTAAATGTGTTCTAATACTTGTCATAGTCTACAATTTTTTTCAGTCTAGTAATATGTACCTCTAACTACATAAAACAGTTCAGTAAGCAAAAGCATTTGGGAATTATTAAATTCCAAGCAAAGTTATAAAATATGTAGTTTTTACTTTTATATCTTCTATCTTCCATAGCACCTATAACTGAGCCAGATCGTCAGGGCCAATGGTTGCGTCGACGCAGGCTCGACGGAGCATTGAACCGCGTGCCACGTGACTTCTACCCTCGCGTGTGGGGTGTCTTGGAAAGGGTGAGTTTTAAACTACATAGAACTTATAATAGCTATAGCTATATACACCACCAATTTAGATAAATTTAAAGTTTTTGCGTTCTGTAATAACTATTTTTTTTTATTGTTTCAGTGTCAAGGCTTAATTATTCAAGGAAAGATCTTGCAACCGAATTTGACTCAAGAAATGACGTCAGGAGAGTTGAAATTCGCGCTTGCAGTGGAAACAGTACTGAATTCGATCCCACAGCCGGAGTACAGGCAGTTAGTTGTGGAAGCCCTCATGGTGTTGACATTGGTCGTGGAGTATAAGGCCGTAGCGCACCTGGGAGGAACTATCGAGGTTGAGAGTCTGGTCCACAGAGCCAACCAAATATTCTTAGATGACCAGGTAAGGTTTTACTTGTATTGTCCTTATTTTTATTGGTCTCCTCTTGACTTACTCTATTAATATGACTTTTTTAGCTTACTTTTGCAACATAAACATATATTGGTTTTATCTGTCAACACAATCATAAATATGTCATTTCATCAACAGATGCGATGCAACGGCGACGCAACTCTCTGTTGCGCAAAGGAAGGGTCTCGTGGGGGTTCTCTAGTCTGTGGCGGCGCGGCCGGGGTCTGTCAACATTTGTACGACAGCGCGCCGTCTGGCTCGTACGGCACCATGACGTACCTGGCCCGGGCCGTCGCGGCACTACTGGCAGACACCATGCCTCTCGACTCGCCCATCGAGTGCACCATCACTTAATGTTACTACTCCTTTACTTGCCATATAGATCGTAGTTAGAAAAGCTAATGGGATGGTCCAAGCTAGTAATTTTTTCGAAATGTACAAAACAAGATTTGCTACGAGATTGTACTAGCGTCCACTAACATTTCGCGAAAAGCTTTAGTACAAAAATACGATAACAGAGTATTCGTATTAAAGTGGTAATACGATTTTGCATTAAAAAAATATTTTTGGCTTAGGAGACATCCCACGTGAGTGAGTGATTGGCTATGACTACAGCGAGGGTTTGCCATCTGGCGACCCATAAACTTTGTTGCTACAAATTATACTTACTATAAAATAAATTTATTAGAAATAAAAATTCTTGCAATATAACCCGCAATACGAGTTAAATTCGAATGAAATTCGGTCCTTCGCTGATCTGCAATTTTGAACAAAGACAGCTCTTCTAAGTGCCAATATCTAAATAAATATAAGACGCAAAATGATAATCGACCTTCTTATCATCTTTGTTTGACCAGCTTATCTCGTCTAAAACTAGACATATATCTTGGAACGAATATAATTCATCTCCAATAATTGTTACACAAAATAAAATTTATATTTACCTAAGCATGTATGTACTTATGTCTTCCCCAGAGAAAGAGTATGACCTTGAAATGACAGCAGTGTATTATGTAATTACGCAAATATGTAGTAGTAGTTCCAATGTTGACATTGTCGATGTTACTTCGTGTCTGTCTCTATTTAAATGCATCGTAGGTTGTGTGGCATTGTGCCATTATACTGTAACAATATCCAATTGCAATCTCAAATAGTATTTCTTAGGGAACATCTTTTTTTATGACTTTTATACATGTTATGCCATTTAAATACTTTTTTCTTTATTAAAATATCATGTTATCAACTATAGTCACAAAGTTTTAACACTTTTGTGAACATATTTTTGGGTTTTTTTAGTATTGTATCATTAACTACAGATATTAAGAGGTATTATTGTAATCATAAAATACTGATTTATTTTCTGATATTAAAATAAAATTATTTCAACTCGAGTTTTGTCTTACACAAGTAAATCCCTACTGTAGTACACCAAGGTAATTCATAATAAAAAAACTCGGTAATACCTATTTATTCTAAATTAGATAGACTATCTCTGGCAATAAACACATCTACTAGAAATGTTACATTTTGCTAAAAAAAAAACAACTTTAGACATTACATGTCCTAAGAATTAGACAGCTACAACAATTAAGCTTCATCTTTCTTTCCAAATGGATTCATCTTTGAAAGCCAAGATGTCGTAGTTCTGAAAAAAGACGAAAAAATATTGTAAGAAAATAATTTTAAATCACTGGACAGTGGACACTATGATACTATGAATGGGAATCTATATGTAATAATAGGTATGTGTTATGATGTGAGAGACAAATGTGGATGGCATATAGAACTCTAAAGAGAGGAGCCTAGCAATTGGCATTCCATCAACTTTAGGCTTACAAAATAGAATTTTTGATGAATGACATCAATGAAACAACCATATTATAAGAAATTACTTACGATATTTCTTCAGGCGATGTCTTAGTCGACTCAATTCCTGCTGCTTTCAATTTTTCAACTAGATTTTTTCTGTACATGTTTTTTAAAGGAACAGGTTTGTTGGCTGCCTCTTTCTGTTTAGCAAGTTTGCACAGAGCCTCATACCATGATAATCCATACCATTCTATTTCTTCGGGAGTATACTAAAAAATTTTTTATTACATTTAAGTTACAACTACACAATGGCCGTGTGGCAAATAATCCAGATTTTATTTTTGCTTATATTATGTGAGTTGCTAAAAAATTGAGTAGACAAATAGTAATCTTGTTTCAAACAACTCTACTAAAATAATCTGAATTTTCTTTTTAATTGAAAATACCTTTATATTTGCATAAATGGTGTACAATTGCCTAATTTTATTTGAACAGCGAAACTCACCGATGTCAAATAAGTTTTATACTCCTCGTATACTTCTTGCTGCCTCTGAGGATCATGGGAATATCGAGGACACCCATTCATCAACTCAATCAGTATCTGCTTCTTCAATTTCAATGCTAACATGGATACTAAGTCACATGCTGGTGTCTTCAGTAAATAGTGGTCAAAGCCGTAATGATCATTGATCAAACTAATTGTTCGGTCAGTCACAGTTACTGACAGGTGGGTGTTCAACACCTCAGATTTTACTACAGTCCTCTTTAATACAGGTACCCAGTAGTGTGGGACCCTGCGTCGTCGAGGATCACGTTTTTGGAAGCCTGTAAATTAATAATCAACATGTAACAACGACATAACCTAAACAACTTTTTATTTATATTCATAATTGTACACAAAGCCTACCTTTGACCACAGCCTCACCACCCCATATGCCCTCATGAATCTCTGCCGGGTGTTTCAATGGAATGGGGATGTTTTGAATGGGTAGTATTTCCCCAGTGAGGTCGTCGCGTTTCCATTTTCCTTCTTGAGGTATGTAATGGACAGCAGCTGGCTTTAACACCTTCCATTCACGCCAGAATTTTTTATATGCGATGGGTAATTCTGAAGCTATGCCTATATCAAACCTGCTCTTTTTCTTATAAGCTTTCGATAGTTGGCGAGCTGTAGCCTGAAAAATAATCTACGCGTCAAATTGCACCAAGGTAATCCCTACAATGTAAGAATAAAAATGATGAAACATGTGTCAAATATTGCTCATTAGTGCAAAGATTTACCTGAATTCTTGATGCCATTGAATAAATTTATGGTTATTTTCATAAAATTATTAAATAATGATAGATATCAAACAAATTCAGATAATTTTGGCTTTTATCAAATTTTGCTGTAGAGTCTGTCACTTATGTCAAATCGATTTATAGTTTTTTTATTGTCAACATTGGGAAAATTGTTATCAAAATCAAAATTATAAAAAATGAGTATTGTATTATTACGTCATGAATATTATTTCAACCATATATTTATTAGGAACTTTGATTTGATTTGATTTAAAATTAGATTTCTATACGAGATTGAGTCCAATGAGATTATAATTAAGATTCCGGCATGGAGATTGTTTCGATCTCTTGACAGCTATGATAGCTGTCATATGTCAGGTGTCATTACTGTCACTGTCATTTGCTTAAGATTAATATCGCTGCTGACGTGGTTAAAAAATGTGATACAGAAGCGATATTGGCAAATTAGTGCTAGTGGTGGTGGCTAAATATTTTGATAATTAGATAAATATTTTTAATATTTCTGTTGTTTCGTTGTATCTATTTTATAAAGTGTATTGAATAGTGATTGTGCACCGCGTATTACGTGTATTATTAATGTTGGCAGAGAGCAATAAGCTATGTCGGACAATAAAAACAATAATCCTCCCGAAAGGGAACAATCTGATACTGCTGACAGCAATATAGCTTCTAGCGAGGTGTCGAGTGTCGTTGGAAGTGTTAAAACTTCTAAGGTAAATAGTGAATGTATAAGGAAACTGGGCACTCTTTTTTACTTTGTTATTTGCATTACACAAGCATAGCAAGGACATTATGTGTTTCGATTTGCTATTGGTTTTTAATACTACGTAATTAAACATGCTGTGTGTTGTCATAACTATTTTCGCAATGTTTGAATATGTAAAACTACTTAAATTGACCTTCGATCTGTATATTATTACACAAAACAAAATAGTATAGGAATTCAAATCAGCTGACTAGGCAATATAAACTTCAGCCATATTGTTGATGAAAACATCACAAAAAAGTTGTAAAATTCATATTATGTGGAAATTATAATTAGTTTGGTTTGTACAACATAAATTATAATAAATTTTAGACATCTCAGCGGGTTTCATCATCTTCAGAAAGACAAATTAAGTTTGAGCGTGCTCAAAAGTGCCTGGAGAATGCAGCACTTGTGTCAAAGAGGATTAAAGAACACCGCAAGGCAACTGCAGAACTACTGGGAAGGCCGTTTGGTGAGTGTCAATGTAATCCTCAAAAAACAATAGGTTTAATTTTTTTTATGTTTTATTACTTTCAAAAAGCATTACAAACAGAAGCTTGGAAGGAGGTTAGGGAGGCTTTTGCCCTACAGTGGGACGATCATGGATGATAATAAATAAATATAATATTTAGTTCTATAACCACTTTATTATTTTTAATTATATTTATTTAGGTAGTTGTCTTTCCTTGGTAATTAGGTAAGATATACAATATTTATCTACACAAATAAATACAAATAAAAATGGCCTTTTAAGTACTAGTAAGTATATCAATTATAATTATGTATTTTCTACTGAATAATATGTTGATATATCATACCCAAAATTTGTTCATACAATAGTAGACTCTAAATATCGGAAATAAGGTCTATAATGGAGTTAGTGGAGAACTGTCACCATTGACCATTGACAAACAGCATTTAGATACAACTGCAAACTCTATAAAACTTTATTTACTAATCATGTCTGCATAATCTGCAATGATTTATTGTGATAAAGGAATTGAGTGGCGAGTTGGAGTAACTCCAAATAAAAATACAGTATTACTGAGCAGTAAAAATAGTTTACCCTTGAGTTTTATTGAAGAGAACTGCATAAAATGGTCTAGATAGATTTTAAACATGCTACTGAATGTTGACAATTTTTTTTAATAAACTTATTATTCAACATCATACAGTTTTACTTCCTGAACAAGTTGATAGAATTTCACATAACTATTAGAGTTACCACCCAGTTTTCACTAGTATTATGCATAAACTTATTTAAAAATACATGAATTACAACAACAGAAACTTAATGTTGGGTTTTAATTATTTAAACAAGGTTTCACAGTAGATAACAAATGAACAGTAGGTACCTACTGAATAAAACTAGTGAATTAGGTTTTACACTTATATATTTTATATGATGTACAGTGGCATTAAGTGCTGTAATGTGCACCTCTGCCTACCCCTTTGAGGATAAAAAGGCGTGATGTTATGTATGTTATGTTATTTTATATGACAAGTGACAACAACAATAAATTGGTTTGTCTTTACCATGCATACATTAGTATTATGATTTTAATAAATAATAAAACATTTTCTAATACCTAGCAGAACTACCTAGGTAATTTAGAATATTTTTCCTGAAACAAAGGATCCCCCTCAATACCTGGGAACCTTAAAACTATAATATGGTGGTAGTGGTCAAACGTCGGCTCATCAAATATAATAAAAAAAAATATCTTAAGACTTATTGAGGGTCATCCATAAATCCATACCATTGAATTTCGCATATCACACTCATTCAGCAGGTAGTGATTGTAGAACCAATATCCCTACAGACAGCAATATGTCTCAAGCTGAAGAAGGCCAGCCAATAATTCACTGCTCCTAATCTTTATACCCCATGAACCCCTACCACTACTGAGTATGAATTACCCACATTCACAATCCTTGTTACCTGACTTGAACATATAAAGTGTGAAATTATATTTATATACTAATTAAAATCTATAATTAAGTCCATTTTTTTTCAAACTTTTATTTTCTTAAAATGTATTCTCCAAACCGTTAAAAATACTCTAAATGATAAAACTCTTTAAACTTCCAGAGGATGACGATGGCGGTGATACGGCTTCTGAATTGGCTTCCACCGTGAGTGAAAGAACTGGCTACTCGGTTGCAACTGACACCTCCACTACTCTGTCAGTCCAGGATGCTTTGAACAGTAAGTATTAGTTGTAACTCCGTTTTATAATTCATTTTATTATTTACAGTTATATAAAATATTAAGAAATTGTTGTTTTGTCATTATATATTAAAAGTAAAACTTGTATGGTTGGGATTAAGTTTATCTGTTGAATGCAACTTATCTTTTATCTTCACGTTCAGATTTCTGTCATACTTCCCATATGGGATTCCAGCCCAGGTACTTATTGTTTAGCAGTTATATCTATTTTCATTACAGTTTATATTAAAATGCCCTTTCTCCTCTTTTCAGTTCCTGGCATTAGTGAGAGCTTAGCGAATACTCTGAAACAAAAAGAGCTGTTAATGGAAAGGATAAGACAATATAAAGAAATTAGCAAGAAACCGATGACCAAACCAACAACAATACGGAGGGAATCTACTGTTGATACTAAAGTCGAAGTAAAAAAGGTTTGTTTGTATAATAATATTCTCTGATTGTTTTGTGACTTGTGAGCATTGATTGTTAGACACAATGTTTATATTGTTCAGCTGAACTAAATATTTGCTGGCACGTTATAAATGCATATGAAAGCAAGGCATTTAAAATGAATATGAGAGAAATATAACAGATTAGGTAGAGCTCATGTTGATTTCAATTTTTATCAAGGCTTGCTTATAACCTTGAATTGCAGCTGCTTAGTTACGTTTACTGAAATTGTAATTGTATTATCTGATGTTGGCAGTAGATGTTTAAATAAAATAAATAATTAAATGTTATACTAAAACTAACAAAGTATCAATTATTTGTAAGTTGTGAATCTTTTTAAATTCAGGTCCAACCAGCAGATAGCAGTAATGTGACACAACTTTTAAACACAATCAAGGAGAAAGAAAATTCTCTAAGTGTGATGCAAGTAAAAATAAGAGCTATGGAAACCACAATCCTAGACTTACAAGAGATGATTAATGAGAAAGACCAAATCATTGAAGCTAAAAACAAGGCAACAACACTAATGTCGGATACGTTAAGCAAGAAAGGTAAGTGTGTTATTAATTTAAATTCGAAATTGAATAGAATAACGCTGAAATACTTAGACGTCACTCAATTTTAAGTCGCGCTTAAGTATAGTTCTGTCACTACAAATACTTTATAAAATGACAGAGATCGCACGATATTTAAGTACAACTGAAAATGAGTCGCCTTCTAGTATTCGAGCGTATGGCACCGATATACTTTGGTTCATATATTGCAAAATGTAATAAAAATGCAATTTTTGTCCCATTCTTACTCTTGTATGTCCCTGGAAGTTTGCCATATTGGGTATAAGTTGTATTTACAGAATGAAAGTAAATTAACTGATGATGTATTTTAGAGAAAGACTCCTTAATACTACTCGAGGACACAAGGCAACAAATGACGAAGATGCAAGAAAACTTTATCGCTATGGAAACTGAATGGAAAGAGGAAAAACAGAATCTATTAAAAGAAATAGCAATCAAAGATGAAAAAATCATTAGTTTAGAAGAAGCTAATACCATTTTAGAAACGTCTAGGTTTGAAATTAGTGTTGCTCATTCAAAGTTAGCTGAAGAATTAGAATCAAAGAATCTGGAGATATTAAGACTACAAGAGAAAATTGAAGGTTTATCTCAAATACCTATTGATGAACCGTCTCCTAAAGAAAAGGATGATGTTGAGGAGGAAAAGGGTTCTCTCGAAATAGCTGGTATGGCTGAGTTGACCAAGAAAATCGAGTTACTGGAGCAACTGAACTGCCAAATTAGACAAACAAATAAAGAGCTAGAAAATAAACTAGCAACTGTTAACACTGAACCTAAGTCGCCAAGTACTGCTGCTGCAGGCAAAAAGGGAAGTCCACTCACAACTCGCAAGGGTGGCAGAAATACTGCAGCCAAGAGCAAATCTCCTTGGAGTCAACTATCATCAGAATCATTACCACAGGAAACTGATAAGAAAGCAGCAAAAAGTGAAATAGCCAGACTAGAAATGTTAGTACAATCTCTCAACAAAGACATCCTGGAAAAGGAATATGCAATTTCAGAAAAGGATGCATTGATAACTCAACTCCAAAATGTACCTGTTGAGAAGGAACAGAAGAAGACTGTTGAAATGGTGGACATTGGTTTATGTACGGACATTCCAGAAGATAATAAGCTTAGCACTCAGGGCGAAGTAGAAACGCAAGATTCCAGTGTTGAATTGAAATCAACTAATGAAGAACTGTCTATAAATGAACTTCAAGAAAAATTAAAAGCTGCTGAAGAGCAAATAGTGACCCTTAATAATGAGATTGATGCAGCTAACAAAAACATGATTAAGGTCAAATCTAACAATAAATTGAAATTGAAACAATTGCAAAAGACCATTGATAACTTCAGTAAAGTTTCTGATACAAACGCTGAGATCGTTAAGTTAAATGAAGAGATACATCAACTGTCTCAGAAAGTCGCCGAACTGGAAGAGGAGAAGGGTAATCTACAACTACATCTCGTGGATTACGATAGTGGACGACGTAAGTATACAGCAAGTGTATCTTTGATGTTTTCACGAGTGTGTTATTTATTCTGAAATGTAATGTCTATGTTTATTATTGCAGTCACGGATTCTGACATCTATAAGAAGATGGTTGAAATGGAAAATTTAGCAGAAACAAGACTGAAGGCTATCAGTGTTTTGGAGACACAGAAGTTTGACCTGGTCCAAGGTAAAATTTATGTTATGATATGATCCTTACTATATTAATATGATTTAGCGTTTACTTTTACTAATTCATTACGAACATTTATTATTTCAGAGCTGCATATCTTGCAACAGAAGAATGATGAGATGGAGGACAAACTAGCCGATATTTCACAACTCCAAAGTGAACATGTCTGTACTGAGATGAAGTCTGTACAGATGGAAGAACAGATAGATGAGCTGACAGCTGCTAAAAAAGAACTAGAACTAGTTGTAGAAAACTTAAAACTAGACAAAGAACACTTGAATGACACTATCAAACATCTTCAAGACGACAAGGAGGAGATGGCACATAAATTAGAAAACTACATTCAAGAAAACATGGAACTCACTGACAAACTTGAAAAATTGAGTGCAGAAAAAGTTAGTTCTGCTGAATCAATTGAAATTGTGGAATCTTTAACAACTCAAGAAAAACTTGAACTTGAAGAATACAACAAAGGTATTATTGAAGATAAAGGTGACGACCATCATCAGGACCATGTAGAATCACAAAATGATAAGAATATTGATAGCTTGATAGAACAGAGGGAAGAATTAAACACTAAAATCGAATTATTTACGCAAGAAAGACAAGAAGTTATGGAAAAAATGAGTAAAATTGGTTCAGAAAATGAATCTTTACTAGAGAAAATAAGTGAATTAAATAATCAATGCAGTATTTTGCAAAGCAGTATTGATCTACTTAATAATGAGAAGCAAGAGCTTCAGGGTCTGAATCAAGATCTTTCACATCAAATCGAAGAACTGAAACGCGAGAGAATAGAAATTATGAAAGAAACTGCTGAGACTGCCAAGCCAGTTACTGAAGATGTGACTGATGGTGTACCGGTCGAGACACACCATGACGATAAATCGGCTGGTGATAAGGGAACAAAAGGAGCTAAGTCAGTTAAACAACTTACCAAGGAAATACTTAAACTGAAAAATACTATTAAAGAGAGAGAAGATGAAATAGCTGATTGTCAGATGAAGATACTGTCTATGGAGGAACAGCAACAGAAACAAAAAGAGTTATTACAAACAAATGCGTCTTATGAGAGTAAAATAAAGTCTTTAGTTGATGAAAATATGCATTTGAAACAAGATTTAGAAGTAATAAAGAAGGAAACTGAATCTAAAGAACAAGTAATGAGACTTAAACAATCAAATGAAGAACTACATCAAGAATTACAGAAAGTACATCAAGAGTATGCTGTGACCGTCGGTTACCGTGACGCTAAAATTAATGAACTTGAAAATGTCTTATTAGAATATGAAAAGCAGATGTTTAACTATGGAAATAGTTTACAACAAAAAGACAAGGAGATGGCAGAATATATTAATCAAATAACCAAACTGAATGATGTTTCACAGAAACTAAAATCTACCATTGAATTGCTTGAAGAAGAGAAAGCTAAGGATCAGAACGCAGAACTTGTGAAAGCACTCAATAAACAAATAGCAGCTTGTCAGAAGAAAATGGCTGACAATGAAGAGAAGATAAAGATTTTAGAAGATGAGAAGGTTCAACTACAATGTCATAAAGGTGAATTAGTTAATAAAAACACAACTCTTGAAGCAGAATTGAAAAAATTAAAAGAATCGTTTACTGAGAAACAAACTCTTATCAAAGAATTACAAACACAACAACAGAAGCATTCAGCTGAAATGTCCTCCATAAAGCTTCAAATTATAGAAAAAGATGAAGAAATTCACGAAATTAAGCTTCAACTTCGAAAAGAATCGATTGAAAATGAAAAGTTGCGTGATAATATTGTAGACAAGGAGAAACAGGTAGAAGAGTTGACACAACAAATTGAAGAGACCAAAGAAAAGCTAAACAACTTGTCTTCAGAAAAGAGCAACTCATCCGAACAGTTTGTGGCGCTCGAGACCAAAAATAAAGAATTAATGGAAAAATTAAAGAAATTTGCTATAAGTATTAAAAAGAAATCATCCTTGTACACTGAGCTTGAAGCACTTTATGAAGAAAGTCAAAAGCAGCTTTCTACTCGGAATGAGCAACTCGAGCAGTTAACAATACAGGTTGAGACGCTCCCAGCATTACAAGAGAAGTTGAAGCATGCTGAGGAAGAGATGAACAGGTTGCAATCACAAAAAGTTTCACTCGAACAGCAGAGGACCCAAGATATTAATCAGCTCCAAGCTGAAATCAAAGCTTTACAAGAAAGACTGATCATGTCTTCCCAAGAAATAACTCACTTGAACGATTCCGTGAACGTTTTACACAAAGACTTACACTTTGCACGCGAAGAAAATGCCCATTTCAAGGCACAGATTGATGCATTAAATAATAAGTTAGTAGAATATGAAATTGAACAGAAAAACAATTCTAATTTAATAACTAAAATATCCAGCTTAGAGGCGGATATTGCTCAAAAACAAAATCAAATAGCTGAGTTATTAACTAAAGTAGAACATCATGAACAACAACAAACACAAGTGCAATTTGGATATGACGCTAAAGTTCAAGAACGAGATTTGTATATAGAAAACTTAGAAACAGAAATTAGCAAGTATAAGAACCGCATATGTCGCCTCGAAGAGAGTATTTCTGTAATGGAAGATAGCAGACATTCACTAGAACGGAAAGCTGATCAATTAGGCAGTCAACTCCAAGAGAAACAAAAGGCGTACACAGAATATACAAGCCAAGAAGACGAGTTAGTGGGACGACTAGCAGTGCTGATGGATCACGATAGGGTTCTTGAGAAACAGCTCTTTGAAATTGAAAATGAAAATAAAGAATTACAATATAAAGTTCAACATTTCAATGAAGACAATCAAAAACTACGAAAAGCGCTTTCTGAAATACAGGAGCATTACAGTGTGGTTCTTGACAAAGCCAATAAACTAGATCCGGTGGAATCCGAATTGTCCAAATGCCAGGTACAGCTTCGTGAACTCGAAGCGAATCTGAAAAAAATAACACACGATTATCAGTCTTTAATATCGAAGAAGAGGCAAGAAATAGAAGAACTCGAATCTGAATTCAACACTCAAATTGAAAATGCTATTAAAGAAAAGAAAGTATTGAGCGAGAAATATGAGAAAGTAAATGAACGCACATCTCAATTAGAAACTAAACTTCTCGAATATAAAACGAATATTGAGAATCTGAATATAAATATAGAAGAACTCAACAGAATCAACCATGAATTGGAAAATAAGTCCAAAAAAGAAGAAGCTGAAACGCCAGATTATACAGAACAATATATAACTGAAATAAATAAATTAAACGCTATTGTCAATGCTAAAAATCAAGAGAATTTGGAACTTAAAAATATACTACAAACGCAACAAGCAACCAGTGTGTCCCTCTCGTCGAATATGGAGAGTCAAATTGCAGACTTAAATGCGAAACTAATACAGTCTGCAGCTGCAATAGAACAACTAACTTCAGAAATTCATAACTTACGAGGAGCTAATGAGCAACTGTACACGCAACTTACTCAAAAAGATGACCAGATTAGAGAGTTAAAAGATAATCAAAAACTAACATTCGAAATGAACATACCCAAAACTGAAGGCATGATTATTTCATCTACTATTGAACAAATAAGTGGAAACGACAAGAACATTGATATGTCAGCTCTTGAATCACAAATAGTTTCTGGAATGGATGAACCGTCAATAGAAAGCAAACATGTGCCTAAAAAAGTATCAGAAAACATACAGAAACAGCCTACAGGTGACATGGTCGTTGAAGAACCACTTATTGTTGCTAAAAAAGCATACGATTGCTATACCAAAGATGACGATGATAATGAGACTACTGAAGTAGACCCGTTCAATTCAGATGAAGGTTGGGGATTAGGTGAATGCGACGAACCTAGTGAAGTAACGCCTGGTTCTTCACATTTCATAGAGCAGATCAATCAACTCCAGAGAGAAAATGACACTTTGAAAACTGAACTTGAAATAAGCAATACGAAACTGCAAAAAGCTTTGATAAAATTAAAAGAATTCAAAGCAAGCAACGTTTTGCTTACTAATGAGCTCAAATTAGCTAAACAAATGTCTCAGTCCTCCTTCTTCGACAATGCTATGGAGGATGAATTAAGAATGAATGTTCAAGAATTAGAAAAGAAAATTGAGGAACTCAACACAGAAATTATGAAAGAAAAACGAGATAAAGAATCACTGAGAAAACAGAACGAAGTCTTCCACAACGCTAATGATAGACTGACTGAAATGAAAGAGAAATTAGATAACGAAATAGAATTATGGAAATTTAAATTCAAAGAAGCAAATGACAAACTTTCTTCCATGCAATGGGGTGGGGACGCAAAGGAATCACAGCCACATGAGCAGTCTCATGTACAAAATATAGATGAAAATAAATACAAAGAAGAGCTTATAAAAATTGAAAAGGAAAATGATGAATTGCAGTCAGCGTTAGAGGAATTGAATTCTCAAAATAATGAATATGTATTACAACAGACACAGTTGAAGAATGAAATCAGTAATCTTCACAACCAATTACAACACCATCAAAGCGTAACTCAAAACTACGAAGTACTTAAAAGCCAACTTGACGAAATGCAAAAAAGCAACGAAGAACTAATTCAAACAAATGAGAGATTAACTGAAAAGTTGCAAGACATTGAAAAGCAGTACAATGACTTGACACAGAGTTATGACAAATTGAATGTTAGCATTGATGAAGTGAAAAGTAATTATGAACAAGAAAAGGCTGTATTATTAGACAGACATTCCAGTTTAGAAGAGGAAGTAGTTAGATTACAGCAACAAGATTCTGAATCTAAAACTCAAATATCTTCTCTATATTCGGAGCTAGAAAATGTTAAATCAAAATTGCTCTTCCATGAGGAACAAGAGGGCGTGAATAGATTACAGAGTGTGGATAGTTTAGCAGTTGCTGAAAAATTTAGTGCCATGGAACAACACTGTATGCAATTAAAACATGAGCTGGATGAGGCTAACTCCAAAATTTTACAATTAGAATCTGAAAACCAAGAGCTGATACAGAAATCCACAGAATATCAGGAACAAATTAACGATTTAAATATCAAAATGCAAAACCTGAATGGTGAGAATGACAACCTACTGTCGACTGTTGCTGAACTACGTTCTTCAGTTTCAAGTGCCATTGATCAACGTGGCTTTGAAATAGCAGAACTCTGGAAGCAACATTTGGCTCAACGAGAAGCCGACTTCCAAAAAATAGAATCAGATCTGAGAACTCAATTAAATGCTTCCGAGGCAAAATATGAGCAGCTACTTGAAAATGTTCAGTCTTCCAACCAAGAAGAAACTAGTAAACTAATTGTTATTGAACAAGTTACGTCTTTACAAAGCAAACTAGAAGACAAAGAGGAACATGTCCGTAACTTACAAGTTAAATATGCTGAAGTCATGAACCAATTAGATATGCTTCGATCAGAAATGGAAGATGAAAAAGTTGGACATGAAAATAAATTACTAGAACAACAGGAAGAGTATGAGAAAATGATACAAGAAATTACTGTAAAACATCATAAACACAATGAATCATATGACGAAACTTTCAAAAATATGCAAAACGAAATAATTGCACTTAAGACAAATAATGATGAGCTGAACCAAGTTATTGAAGATTTACAAAGTAAATTAAAAGAGTCTGAAGAGAGTGTCATAGAAGCTACTAACCAACTTCGACTGAAAGAGAGTGAAATATATCAAAAGACTCATGACTACACCATAACGTTAACACAAAGGAATGAAGAGTTTGAGAATGTTAGGAAGCAATTGATTGAGTATGAAAAACGTGTGGAAGATTTAAGTTATGAAAAAGAATCTGAATTAGCTCTACTCCGATTAAAAATGCATGATAATGAGACCCGCTATGAGAATATGAGAAGTGAAGCTGTCTCAGAAAGAGAAAAACTGATAGAAGAACTTAACGCTAAAATAGTTGAATGTACAAATCTCAATAAACAAATAGTTGATTTGAATCAAGAATTGGAAAGTAATTCCGCGAAGGCTACAGAAATGCAAGCTGCATTAGAAAATCAAGAAATAGAAATAGTTGGTCTAAATGATGAGATCACGAATTTACAGAATCTGCTGAAATCGTCGAGTGCTAAGGTACAAAAACATGTATCGTTTGCGTCCGACACGAAGCCAGGTGCTGAAGGAGAGCAAACTGAAAATTTATTAAACAAAGACTTGCTGGACGCTGTTCCACGAGCCGAACTAGACTTGGCATTATACATGTTGCACCAGAGAGACGTTCGGTGCGAAGAACTGACCATGGAGCTGACACAATTGTTAGAAGAGAGAGATACGTTACAGTTGCGCTTGTCCGACTGTTTACGATTAAATGAGGATTTGAAGAACAAGTTCAAAATGGCTGGTATCGATGAGTCAATGAATTCGAGCCAAGAAACAATATCAGAACAACCGAGCTTTACAGTAGAGAGGGAGTTTGTTGACATCCACCGCGGGCAGACGTCGCGAAGTAGTAGTATAAGTGATCCGGATGGAGAAAAGCCAAAGCTGCAGGCGAAGTGAGTATAATTTCTACTATTCTCAATTCTGTAATAAAAACTGAATCCAGCATGTATCATGCTATCTAAGATAACAAATAAAATTGACTGGCTAAGGACGTGTTCCACACTGTCCGATTAACTTTCTATTCGTCTAGCTGACAGATTAATGGATATGTTTCCTATAAGTAATGAAGTCGGTAAAAATAAGTCTTAGCTAATTTGACTAACAGTAACTTAATCAGACAATGCGAAACAAGTCCTGAATCACTGGGTTTACTTACCCATAAGGTACGGACAAACGAAGTCCACACGTATACAACGCATGATTACATCTCTTGAATTTGCAACACTTTTACATGATTTCCACACTAATTAAAAATTATGTCGCATGCGTTGCATACGTGAACTTAATTAGTTTATTTGCTCTCCAATCATGTCGGTTACCTGATAAATTCTTACGCCAGTATCATTTAACGATACTCAAGTACAGATCTCTACTCAAGCTTAGTTGAAAAGGGATGCACATATCTGTGGAATGTATTTGCGTCCCTTTTTAATTGCATTTGAGAAGAGATCTCTGCTTGAGTATCGTTCTATAACATCAACCTTAGTCTTCGGTACGTTACCGTCAGCTACAGTATGGTAATGGTTACCTATAATAAACTACAAGAGTCACCTTTGTTTGTAAATGATGATGTCTGATGCAGGTTAACGGAGCTCCGTTCTGTGAAGCACAGCCGGGACGTGCGACTGCGACAGGAAAGCGAGCAGCGTCAGTTGGACCTACGACTGCTGCAGCGCGACGTCGCCCACCTACCGCCGGAGGCCGTCGACCAACTTGCCCAAGCGCATCATACACTCTGTACGTTTATGTACCAATCATACCAAATCTTAATTTGATCACGGATTTGGGCACCTGAGTTTCGCAATGTTATTGTGTTTTTCGACTTCTTGTTTAATTTTACGAGTGTAGGGAGTAAGAAGTATAAGCATGGTGTTATATTATTTGCTTTTTGTTTCCAGCTCGAGATTCCCAGAGCACGTCAACAGTTCTGCTAAATTGGCTTCGAGGGAAAAGTACGCCGAAAGTAGTCCACATGTGAGTCACGCATTTATTGTATAAGTTTTGTTAATAATGAGGTTGAACCAACCGTCCTCCTTCCCGACAAATTATTTAGTTTTTAGGAACATGACAGATTAAATATCAGGTAAATCTTTATTGAAACCATCTTATTTGCTTTTACGTGCATTTATCAAAAAAGCCACCACTGCACTTCACAATTTTCGAAATGTTTCGTAAAACATTTAGTTGTTAATTGTGCCCTTAGAAACTTGCCAACGAATATCAAACTATACCAGATCCTCTTTAGGTACCGTAACGTGGGATATCTTGCCCCGAGAGTACGTTCAAATACATGTATTTAAAAGTAGTCATCGAAATATCAAAATTTATTTGTAATTATCACTTCATTAGGAGCGAAGTAGCGACATCCCATAGCTTTCTTCCCACTATCTCTTCCAGCTGTTAGTTAGTTCATTATACAGAATCTTCATTAATAAAAAGGTCTGGTATGTGAGATTTGAGAAATTACGATTCTTATGTTCTGCTGTGTATGAGCTCATTTAGAATGACATGAATTAAAGTTCTTATGAGTATAATAGAAAGGGCATGCAACTTAAAAGAGGACATAAGAAAACTTAGATTGGCAAGTACGAACGAACGACGGAATTCTTCACTAACCCTTGAGCTTACACTGCATTCCTCGACGAACCTTCCTTATTTACTTTCCCTTTACCCGTTTCTGTTGAATACAAGATAATGTATAAACTAGTATATGCTAGATAAAAGAATAGTTCCATAAACTATCCTATTTATTATTTTTTATATTTACTTTTCTTCGTTTTATTTTTAGTTACGATTATTGATTTATTTTAAATAAAAAAATTGTAAAATGCTATGTCATTGCTCACGATTGCTGACATAATTGTTGATTTGTGAAATCGATATTTCCCAAAAAGATTTAATCGTGCCTTTTCATTCATAGACCATATTGTAAATGTTATCGTTGTTACACGTTAGCTGTTCACACTTGGAACACGTATTATTAAAATTCTGAACCTGTATAATTTATGTATATAATCAACGGATTCTTTATGAATAAGAATCCTTGTATATTGAATTTGTAAATTTGTTTCTTGATTAAATGGTGTTCATTTGATATTTTGTTTTTTTTTATACTTTACTGAAAATGAATTCATTACTAAAAGACCTGCTTTTATGTGCATCTCCGCGTACAAACACAGAATATATCTGCATAATTTGGATATGCATCTATGTAATATACAGGAGTGTAAAATGTAAAATATGTCAGTACTAAAATGTTTAGATGTGGAAACGTACAAATTAAATCAGCTTTTACCGAGACTAAACTTGCACGAGGGAGTTGAACTCGCGGTCTCAGCCACCATTATTGGTGGTATGAGTTACACAATTGATTGTAGAACCTTCAATAGACATTCCAGTACAAAGAATTATGGTAATTGTACCACTGCATAATAAAGTTAAAAAAATAAGGGTAAAAGTTCGAAATAAGAACATAACGTTTATATTTTGGAATTTTTTATTACTTTTTCTTTAGATATTTACACTCTCAACGACTTAATTCTACTATAATCCAATATGTCACTTAAATATAATAAATCACAATAAAAATCAAAGTAATGAAAATGTTCTGTCATAATTACTTTTAGAATTTTGGTCCTTATAATATTATTAAAGTATATTTTATAAATCGCTCAAAGCTCACATCTATTTGAGCCAAGTAGCTCTAAAGCATTTTATCCGTTTTTATAAATCGCATCTCCGGAAAATACAATTTTCCTTAACATTTTTATAATCTAAATTCATAATAAACATACTAAATTTCTTACACTATTTCGAAAAAGCCAGTCCAAAAGCCAAATAGCAATTAATAAGACTAACTTCGTAATGCGTATGTTTTCCCACATAATTTTATATACAAGTTAATATATTAAGCATATATTTCTATTCGGCAATATGTTCACATCTGACGCAGTATTTACTATTGCGATACCTAAACATTAGGTATGACTACTCCACAACCAAGTTTGTGCAAATTAAATATATATTTTTGCAATGAAGGGTATCACTTATCAAATAGAGTTATTTAAATATTTCAAGGTATTGTATCAAGTCTCTGAGATACTAAATCAAAATATGTTTGTTTAATAAAATACTTGTTTAGTAGTGTAACTTATGGCACCACATGCTTACAGCACATCTATATAATATATTTACATGTTAATCTAATATGTACATCGACACCAGATTCTACATAGTAATTAAACTTATAATCTGTACGAACAATCAGGTGTATGTGATATAACAAGGAGTACGAAAACTATAAATATATAAACGCAATACCTTAGTAAAGTTAGGAGACGTGACACCTCAACATTCTGCCCGCCTTACGTAATCTTGGAAGACATTGGAGTGATTTCTTGTTCACTTTATATATAACTACTCAAAACTTAATGTGCACGTAATTATCAGAGTGCATACAACTAACTTAGTCTAACATTAGTATAATCCTATTGTAACCAGCGCTCACTGTTTCTTCTACCTACGCCACCCGTACTTAATTACACATACCTACGTACAAACTAAATATGAAGATACTGTATCACAATTTTTTAATTAAAGTTACGAGCGCTTCGATAATTAATTAGTCTAGTCGAAACATTAAGTACAAAATAGTGGAACTTGATGACTATTGCGTGTATGTTTAGTTCTGATGGTTCAAACATAGGAACGATCGATCGCGTGATTTAATAACTAAATGCTAACCTAAAAATCTTAAGCATGGATCACATTGTTTTTTTTACATTTTCGTTTAGCAACAATCCGAAATGGTCTCGCATAGTACTTCTAAGTTAACATATTATGACTGGAAGTGACTACGATACGAAATTAAATTAAAATTTATAACACTTATCACAATATTTTATCAACTAATACGTAAGGAACAAAGATAATAAATCAATTTGCTTACATACATAAGTTTAAAGTGCACTATCGAAACAAAAATATACAGCCCCTTGTCTACATCTATTACCTATTTTATTAATTATGTAAATATTATTTGCAGTTGCGCGGCTAATTTTATACAAAGTTCTGACTCCATGGTGTGTTATAAATATAATATGAAATGTACGTAATATTAGTTTTTACAATACACAAGCGTAATTTATTGCCTTCCCCCGATACAATAACATACATCTGATCACATTCTATTTCTGAAAGAATTTACTGAACCGAAAAATAATTATAATGTCTGAAAATAATTTGAACTTCTAAAATGGTTGATTAAGTAAAAGTTTAAGGTATTGTACCTCGACTTACTTCGGCTAACAGTGATTGAATCAGCTGATAAATATATCTTACTTACAAACGCTACTTGATAAAACTACTATATTTAATTACAGAATAACTGAAGGGTTGAGTCAGTTCATGTTATAAAATAAGAAAAAATGTGAAGCTAACTTTGGTCCCATACGAACATGTAACAAGGTAATGACTATCTATTTGTAACAGCTATTTGATTAGCAAACTATTACAGATTTATTAGAGCACTCGGCAGGTGAAATTGAAGCTTAAATTATTAAGAGGTAGATTGTAATTTCAAGAACCGTAAAACTAGACCTGAAAGAGTTCTATCTAAAGAAAACTCGTTCAATGCAAAACAATTTTAGTGAACGCACAGACTAGAGGCAAATTACAAGTAGCACGCAGGGCTTACACTTATTTATTATGTATGCGCAAGTTGCGATTAGTAAGATACGTACAAAATTACCTACGTTAGAGACATATGATTGTCAGTCTTGGGTTCAGTCCTTGATCACGGGCATCTTGAACATGATAGTTTAAAGTATTTTCGTACTAATGCACCGTAATTAAAGCAATCGTCCGTGGGTCACGGGACGCGGCGGTGGACGTGCACGTAGTTCAGAAGTGCACGTCGCGCACGTCCGTGGGCGTGGCGGCGTTACTGTGGCTCTTGTCCTGCGTCGGCGGCGGCGTCCAGGCCGCGGCCTCGCGTGCCTGCCCGTTTGGGTTCCCCGTGCTGCCCTCCTCGATCATGTGCTGCACCATCTCCTCTATCTGCTCCAGGCATGTTTGGAGACAGTCCTGCAAAACATTATTACGTTAGGTAATTCTCTATTTGCACTGTTAAAATGATGGGATCTCTCAGTTCGACTGAAATATAAATGTTAATAATTTCTATATGCTATACTTAATAATGACGATAACTTACCAAATCAATGCGCGTGAGTTCATGCAGCCGCGGCAGATGGCCGTCGAGGCCGAGGCCGCGCAATGCCGCCGCGATGCTGCACGACGCCAGTGTGCTCGCCGAGTACAGCGTGAACTCGTAGTCTACAACAAACACACCATCCATTAAAACTGTGTCGGCCGCACTCATCATTCTTAACCTAATTTATTAATCCGTCATCTCTCTATTGTTAGATCAATTAAAATGTTTGTTATTTCAACGCTCTGATTATTATTTAATTAAAACAGGACCGTTTGTTTAATAAAACCGCAATAGGATATGGATCAGCTCACTAGCGAATAAATTAAACTAATTTTCCTGTCATAGTACAGCATGCATTTAAAGTAGATTGTAAAATTGGAGGTAGGTAAAGTGTAGCGCATTAGCTTTCATGTAGTCGTCAGTCCGTAGACGGTGCGAATACGGCGACGGTCGGCCGTAGAGGCTAGAGGAGTGGGGCATATCCGGCAAAAGAAATGTTCTTTCTCTCTCGCGCAGGTTGTCAGTCTCCTGTGGAGAGTGCAGCCTCAAAGGAGCCGGCACCCGCCCTCGCGGCCGCATTCCACAGGCTCGCTCCTTCGCCTCACTTGAATATTTCTCACGGGCTTACTTTGGCAAAACCATTATACCATACATCATATATGTAGGGAGGCTCGCATATACGTGTATGGAGGGCTGGTATCCAACGAACATTGGATGTGGTTTCTAATACATGCCCACCAGACGTTCAGATCAAGATAAACAGGAAAATAGAATACGGAACATTTAATTTATTAAAACTCATGTAAACTATTCGTATTTCAATAAGCCATTAGGATATTGCTCGACAATTTTCAACTTAGTGATCATTTACAAATCAATGTAGGTCTATGTACCTATTATGACGTAAATACAATCAAAATTTCTGCGATATCATCGTTACTTGACACTACAAGTAGTTTATTTCAGTCCCTTTCTTTGTTTTGAAGTATGTATGCAGTACCTAAGTACGTAGGTAGAAAACTATAAATATCGACAATGATGACACCCGATTGTAAGTTCAACAGTTTCTTTATTTCTTTAGTTAGATCATAGTAAAAATCAAAACTAACATTATTTCAAAGTATTTATCAGCAGTTATTTAGTTCACCACACATAGCTGCTTCTGATAATAAAGCAGGAAAATAAGCTACCCGGCCTTGTCAAGTTGTTGTTAACAAAACAATATACCTACTTACCTGAATACTATGGTTTCAATTCTACTGAAGTAGGTAGGACGTCAAGCTTTTATAAGTGGTATTCGGATAGGTATGCGCAAAACATAAAACAAGTTCCCACGCTTCTACAGGACTAAGATAAGAACCTCTGCAAGGATGCGAGACACCACGAATGCCCACTAACTGGAAGACGCAGACAATAATACGAGTGAAGCCTACAAGAACCCTCCATTCATCATTAAGTAGACTCTATTATACCGACCAACGTATGGATATCGAACACTCTTTCAGCTCATTTAAAAGATTTATTTTCATTTTTTTTAATTTGCATGTCGGCATACCCGAGATAAAGGGAACGGGTAAAGGGAACGAATAAAAAGAGAGAGATGAAACAACGAAAGCGGCCGCTCACTCGAGGTATTTGCATAATCTGATGTTAATCAAACAGACCAGTACCCGGTGCGCGTCCGAGCCGGCCGGCCCTGCCGACGAGCAGCCCCTTTGTCACGAGCGCATCAAGATCACCAGTCAGTCTGATTGCTGAGCGTGATGTCTGCGCTATGTAGCCGTGCAGCCGTGGTGTGCTAGGCTGGAGCTGAGCTGTGCGCTGCGCGGCTGCACGGCTGCACGGCGCAGGACACACACGTAGCGGAAGCGAGCGCGTCCTTATTAGTCGTGACGGCGCTGCTTCATCACGAGCTAATAACACTAATGTACACTTTCTAGAGGAAGCGGCACAGCGACGTCGGTCCCACTGCACTTTGGTGTGTATGTAAATTAATAAAGTTGTGTACAGTGTGCCCCCTCGTAGACAGGCCGTGGCCAAGTATGGCCTGTCTACGCGCGGGGATTGTACATCCGTTTCTCTTTGCTTCTGTATCACTTTAAAAGTTCGTTGCTCGAATAGTGTTCATGATGAGGTAATTTATTATTTAAATTAAATAACTAAATGTTCTTTTATCCAGAGTTATTTGTTGTAATTTTAGAATTTCTAGAAGTTCGATTAGGAAAGGAATCTAAAAGAATCTCAGTCTTTCAATTAATATGACGGCAGTGATATAATAGTCAAATTCCGTCATTTTATTGCCCTTGAGAACTAAGTACCTACATATAATAGGTGTCGTCGGCACAGGTACCAGTAGCACGCGCAATAGTCGATTCGCGAGGTGAACGATCCCACAAGGCCGGATTGTTCGTAGGTACCTATACCTATTCGGTGAGGAGGGAACTGAAATGGTTTAAATCGGCAACTACAAGACTAGACGCGACGTGTTCTTTTTAATTGTTGAAACACCAATCTCGTGGTTGCAAGCTGAGCGCAAGCGCAACCCTTACTTATTTCAGAAAAATGGTACGTTCTAATAATAATGATATAAAAATTAAGCTAGCTTAGATAGATTCATTGGTCACCGGAACAAACGCCGCGTAGGCACCGCGACATCGTCTACGTCGGCGGCGACCGCTACCTATCCGATGTGCAGCGCGCGCTCACATGTGAAAGAATAATATGTATGTATCCGATGCAGATAAGATATACCTGTCTCGCGCAATATAGGTCGCGTCACACCTCACATACCACACATGAGAACCACTTCAACATTTTTCATACCCCAAGCCGCAGGAAAGAATGTAGGTAGGTTTATAATAAAAATAGAATATGTATGACTTATCATCATATTCATCATCATTGCGAGGACCAGCGAGAGTTGTCAGCATTAAAATAACCCATTACAAATTTAATATCCCCACGAGTTATGATTCCGGAGTAAATTGTGCCATTCAAATAATGATACATAATGCGGGCTCGCTCGATACCGCGAAACGACAAGTATACGCGATCTCACCGCTTCGCCTGGAGGGTAGTATGTGTAGACTGTATAGTGTACACACGTCACATTCATGTAGGTAGTAGTTGCATGCCCAGTGCCCAACAGAAACGAATACAAAAAACAATAAAAGATATTGGGACTTTTGTAATGTTAATTGTATAGTGACATGGTTACTCATTCATTGAATTAGATACCTACTTCGAAGTTTCAAGATCATCATCAATATTTCATAAATGGAAATGTGTAATGTGGCGCACTCGATCGGATACATCAGTGAAGGAGATTTAATTCGCCATGGACTCAAGTGAGAGATGATATCCGAGAAGCAAGTGAAATAAAAGAGCTGGAGCGTGAACTTCTTGAACAAAAAACAATACGACAGCGGCGGCGAACAACAAAAACCGTTGCACAAAAACATATGATCCCATGAGGGTAGCGGGGGAGGCTCGGGCGGCGCGGGGGCGGGAGTCCCGAGGCGTGCTGGAATGCGCTCGGGCGAGCGGCGTGGGAGGCGCCGGCGCGGCCGCTGCCAGGACACACACACCGCCCGAGCCTGCGCAAGCGCCCTCACTGTAAACAAACCTATTCACATCTCGCTACGCTCTCTGCTAGCCGCCGGCTGACGATAACCATCTCTCCTAAGAATATATTCACCTATACCATAACCTAACAACCTATACCTAATAAATAGGCATTTCATATCCAGTTACTACCTAATAAACAAGTATAACTTCGCAGTAATGTGTTTGATTTATTTTTATACATATAAGCTTCTGCAGCGAATTTAACTTCAAAACTCATACATATTAAGTACTTTCCATTTTGTGCTGTCGCAAAGAGGCCCTGATTAACAATGCTCGCGTGTAAATTATCTACAGTGATAAAACGCTAAAACAATTGATACCATATGGAAGGAAATAAATAACAACAGAAGTAACAGAATTCTCTGGTTGCGCAAAATGTAGCAAAAATTAAAATTATGTAAATGAAAAAAGTTAATAGAGAAGTAACTATTTCGAAGTAAAGGTTCAGTGACACGTGTCCGTAGACCAACGCGGTCCGCAGCGCAAGACGACTATGTCGTGACATGACGTGGTATCTAGATGCTAATTACTGTCTGCCGTTGCAAACAAAACGTTACATGATGTACCTATTCTCATTCATGACAAGAGAACAATATTTAGAAGACATGGTCCTGCCTTAGACACAACTATATAATAATATTTCTACGCAAGTGTTTCGACATTTTTGTCCATCTCGTATTGAATGTGAAAGCAGCTTTCAGTTGACGTAGAGTCAGGATGTTGTAATGCTTACCTCTAGCAGCTAGCGAGATGAAAGTCTGCGCGTGTCTGTGCACCATTTCGGTGTTGACGAGGCCACGCAGTGGTAGCCGCGAGAGCAGAAGCGGCAGGAAGTCGTGAGCTGTCACTCCCGCGACGTCCCACTTTAGCTTCGACAGCACCAGCAGTTCCCAACTCTGTTAACAATGAAACAAAACGTTCATCAAATAGGTACTTTATATTCCATTAGATTTATCAGTGGTAACACCAAAAAGGTCAATATCGGTGCGCTTGGATAATAAAATAGCATTCCTGTCGCCACATCCGCCGCTTTAATCACTAACACGCCGAGTTTTGCTCGACTTCCCGGAACGGCGCGTAGGTAGTCCCCGGTGCTACGTTGTGCAATCAAATGAACAATGTTACAGTTTTAGTCCATGTTTTGTTTAGTCTCATTGAAAGTTCAAACAAAGTTATGTACCACTCTTACAAGTTCAAAATAATTACTATATTCATAAATAGATAAATAATAATTCCTATAAGTTTCACACTATTGCACAATCGATTAGGTCTTTATCTTTCTATATGACATTCAAAAGTGACTAAGATTTTCGTCTATGTTCCCACTAACTGAATTCAATTTTCAGAGGCCTTTGGAAGACAAATAATAGCAAATCAAAAACGACAAACCTGTTGAACTTATCAAGTTGTTATTATCTTTTGAGAACCAAGTTGACCTACATTGAATCTAACTTTGACGTAATGTTCGATTTTGATATAATGATGCCAAGTTAGCGCTGAATAATAATGTATAGGTAAGTAGCGTAGAATATCCCTAATATTTGAACGGGTCGTTTCATGAATAAGTTGATTATTTTGTGTACGTACACACTCATACATGTACGCGTTGCATGTCCGTTGACAGATAATACTCGATGTTTACTTAACTCAATCGACGGGGTCGACCGCGGCGGCCCGGTTGTTACTTTTCTTTCGATCAACTGTATATCTCATACCGATCAACTTAGAGTCGGTATTTGTTAAGCAAGGGATAGCAGTTAGGGCATATAGATTCTTCGCATATCATGTTTATGAATGAATGAATGAAGTATCATCACTGGAAGTCGAATTAAATCGGGACTGCGTGAGAGTGTGAGTAAGCAACATGAGGTTACAATGACACTATCTGATATAATAAATATGTACAAATAGCAACATTTTGCGTATGAAGAACAATATTTATAACGTTGACACATAGGCTAAAAAGAGTAGGTGAGTAAAAGCGGTTACTAATGCCAGTATGCGGGTCGACCGCGAAATGAAAATAAATACTTATTCGTTCTATCTTTCAACTTGTGAAGTTGTGACGGGTTAAAAAGCTCTTCGAAAACAATGCATTCATAAAATGTTCACCGCAAAAGTAGGTGTCGAAGGCGGATTCAGATCTTGTATGTTGGATTTTATTTAGGTCGCAAGATGACATATAGTTGTGGCATGTGATCACATAAATAAAATGAGCGATTCACGTGTGCCAGTGAGACTGTTTGAGAATTTGAGAGCGAGCGCGTACTGGCTAGTAGTCGTACCCGTACAGCTAGCACAGCACTCACATGTGTGGAGTCGGTCCACCGTCCACCCGAGACGGATGGAATGCAGCTCGTAAAGTTGCAGGCGAGTGTTCATTAGAGTGGAGGAGGCCGGGCGGCGGCGGCGGGCCGGGTGCGGCGGCCGCAGCAGTTATCGAACCACGTTACAGCCAATAAAGCGAGCTATGCAAACAGCCCTCGTTGCCCGCAACACACTCGCTGAATTCCACACTCGGTTCCCATGCTTTATCCAATTTCATCGAACGGTGTGACTGCGCCGCTATTAGAATCAAACAATGACTCGGTGTCGCGTGGCCACTAAGCTTATGAGACTAAACAACTTCGGAATTTTCCAGATGCAGATGGGAACAGTCTTACTAGTGGTTATTAAAAAGTAACGACGAATTGAAATTTTAACGCGTTGTGAAGGTAAACTACCGTATCGTATACAATGTTTAAATGTTAGCGGCTATGTAGCAACGGCATGGTGGGTAACCTGCGAGGTAGATAGGTATTATTACTAAGCCTAATTGGAGACAGTCATCGATGAAAACCTCATGAGTGCAGTATTGAATACAAAATTTGCTGTGAGCGGACAAAACGTGTTGGGCATGTACGATATCGCAATTCTTACGTAATATTGTAACCATCAGCGCATTCCTGTAAAATGATTATACTGACAGTTGTGACTTGTGAGTTTTGTCGAAATATTTACCGATAAGGTGACGAACATGTACATGTACATAATGATTAAAGATTCTTAGTTTAATCGTTTTCAAATGTTTATTGAAAGTAGGTAGTAAGAGGTATCAGTAAGAGGAGAGTTTACGTAGGTAGGCGAGGCGACAGTCTCTGGCAGCACAATGGACTCGGTTGCTCAGGCTCTCAGGCCGCGTTCCACATCGTGATACTCCTAACCACAAAATTTTCATTTTTTTTCTTCCTCACGGCCACCGCCCGCATACGTCGAGTTGTTCCACAAGTACTCATTGGAATTTTATTACCGTTGAGAGTACCTTTTAGTGGCGAACACTTTAATAATAGTCAATGCTCCTCAAACAACTTTTTGCAAGGATTTAAAACATGGAATTTAAAGTTTTTGGGAAGCTGTGCAAGTGTGGACGGATGTGAACACAGACTTTCTTCGATCAAGCAAGAGGTAAAAGTGAAGGAAATGTGGGTAATGCATTGGCGTGATATTAAGGTAACTAAGTGACACAATTTTCTAACGAGCCGGCGCATGCGGCGGCGTCAGCGTCACGTACCTTCACTCGTATGCACTGAGGTTATCGTGCGCGCGCGCGCTCGTTAACACAATTTCTGTTCTAACCTAGGTGTCACTCAACACATGCACTTATCTTCGTGGGTGACAGTAAAAAATAAGTATTTTACCAAAAATAATCCAGTATCCGCGCTAAAATTATTTGCACTGACACACCTTGCCAAACAGAGTGAAATATTTTCGAAATATGTAATCTATTATGTTATGTTGTAATGGTGGAACGAACCATTCTGCACAAAGTATGAGGTTTTAGAAAGTACATAAAGTAAGATAGATAGTGCACACAGGCAGTCGTTTTGTTGTGTCACATTAGTTCGCAGGGGAAGTTTCATTTGCACCGGAAACATGCAGCGCCGCGCGCCGCGCCGTGAGATCGGCAAACAACGCGCGCTCGTGCTAATAAGCTCATTCCTCATATTCTAAACAATAATTTCCTTTAACAGATTAAAGCATACCACGATTTATTATTAGAAATTTAAATAGAGTAGCCCTTTATAACAAACGTACTAAGTATAAGTAAACCCTTTTCTAAAGCAGAACCGACCGCATCAGTTTACAATCAAACATCCAATAAGTTTATGATATCGGACTTGATTGTGTCTGTAATAGTTCTCATTAAAGTTAAATTTTAACCGTAAACGCAATATTGAATAGTCTTTTGACAAACTGGCACCGCGGTCGTAAACTTATGCTTCAATTATAATAAACGTTTACAGTGGTAGTGTGGATGTGAGAACGTGCAGGTTTTATGGGCGAGCGCTGAGCGGCGCGGGCGGCGGCGCGCTCGACCGCGAGAACCCCGCATTAAAGCCGCTCGGATGCCAGGACGTGCTCTTTTTGCTCCAGCCTGTGCGCCCGCGCAGCCGTGCCCGCCAACCGCCAACAACCTCAACAATCAAATCTAACCGATTGTTCACTCACACTCGTCTACGAGTACGATACAAGTCGTCTAAAGTCGCCCCACACCACACCGCTCACGCCTCGCGCCAGATCTCTCTGACATTAACACTTGCTTTATACACCGAGCAAAACATTACAGGTTAATACACTAGCTTCCATCGACTAGCTGCACCACGATTTAGATAAAAACTTAATTAATTGGAGCCGACTTCTATTAGATACAGTTGGGTGAGTGGTTGTAAGATGAGCATAATTTTAATACCTGCTCTACGTATGTATGCATTATATGTACCGTTATTGCGATAACATGCGAAACATTCGAAATATACTTGATAACTCCACGATTACAATGAACTGCAATCGGTCGTTTTACTTTATCGAAATAGAAATTATCACAAAAATATGTGGACGACCGGCTTAATTCGAGCATAGCTACGATAATTCGTAGCGGGTCTACGAAAGTGCTACGAAGTCAATTTTAGCTACTACGCCAGAAATATTTACTTGAATAATGTTACTAAATGTAAAATTATTTTCAACCTACGTGTCTAGTTGTTTATAAGAAATATTTGTGTGGTATTTTAGGTGTTTTGAATGTTTTGTGCTCTATTTATGGTGTAAATAGACCCACCTTCATTTTGTTTGTATGGTGCGTGTATGTTTAATTGGAAAAATTATATTCTGTCGATATTGCTAATACGATATATTTAATTGATATCTATTGGCGGTTATGAATTGTATGACTCAGTGAATTAACATAATTATGCGTAGGTAGATACATAAAGACGGTGCAGATGAACACTGAAGACTCACATACGATAGGTGTGTAAAAATTAATGTAGGTACAATAATAAATATCTACGTAGTTAATTTGAAGGTGTGATCTATTTAGGAGCGTGGTGTCGATCTGTCGGAGCTTCGTGAGATGAGATTATGAGCGGTCGCGACTTGTGCCGCGACGCGTGAGAAAAAATAAGCGGCGTGCTTCGCCTGTAATTGGCCTGATTGAAACGCGAGCCTCGTTCGGCGGTTCTTCCGAGAAGTCGGTCGGCTCGTTAGGGGACACTGTCCGCGGGGCACTCAGGGCAGCCCTCTCCCAGACCGCGACCTGTCGCATTCCATGACCACCGCTCACCATACGCACCTACGGTATGTCGTATAATTACAATCATTTCGTTCGAACGTTTACCAGCGCCCTAATTTAGAGCGAGAATTGCCACTCGGTAACTTAACATTATATTGACTAGCGCGAGTAAATCAATAGCTCATTAATAACCAATTGCCGTTACTAAATACAGACATCTAAAATGCGGAGCACGGAATGCAGTTGCATTGCAGGCAGAACGAGTCGTGTATGTGTATTATGACGCGCGAAAATGTGGTGTGCACTGTGCACTAATTATCTACGGGACGAACGGCGACGGCCGGGGCCCCGGCGGGTGGCCGCGTCGCGCCCGAAATGCAGCACAGCCAACACGTAATACGTTACATTTAATGCAAATACCTACAACATGTGAAATAATATCGCGCGGATACATCGCGGAGCAAACTTCAATCTTCATCAGCCATGTTAAAACTTATAAACCTATGGTAGATAAGCTAACCTAAATGCCAATGGCCTTTATTAACATTAGGAAAGTTGTCCGAGTGAGGACAGTATTGCTTGACATGGCACAGGACCACTTTGAGTAATGGCTTGCCAAAGAGAACGGTGCCATGCGACTATTGTCAATGTCTACTTCGACCTCCGACAAAAACAGAATTCTATGTAGATAAGTACAACCCATATAATTTATTTGACACCAATCGAATGTAGCACTTTAAAATCTTAAAATGTTTGCTAAGTAAATAACCTGTTACATAACATCTCATGTAATCTCCGTAAATACCTTAAATACGGCTGAACGGGTAGCATTTTGTTGTATGTTAACTGATATTTTTAAACATAAAATGCTCGCCTCAGTAACGATTACCGCTAAACAAGGAAAATTTGCTACTGATCGTCCTTAATATTCCAGAATATGATTCGTACTTGACCTTTTATTCGATTGTGACTATTAATAGGAACTAGTTATTAACTGTAGTGTTCCACTCACTGATTAGTTTACAAACGTTATGAAGTGAAATATTTTTAATTTTATTAGTCACCCTCTTTACGTAGCCCACGTTGTGTTAGTGCTATTCATATGTCCGCCATGACTAGTGTGTACTCTGTAGTAGTGCTGTGAGACAAATCGCGTCACAAAGACGACGACGTAGCTCCTACAGCCGATCACTCCATAGATATAATTAATGTTCCGACATAAAACTGGAATTCCAATCTCTCGCGGATGTTCAGTGTGCGAATGATTTAGAAATCAGCGGAGTGAACGACACGAAAGCACCTAGAGCTAACTGCAAAATTAGTGCATGCGCGTGCACGATGCATAAACTCAGCCATACGAAACTGCATGATTAATAAGATCAGCTGTTTCCCGAGACGAAGAAAGTTAATTAATTCTTCATATTACTTCATATGGCAGTGCGCGGAACGCCAGAAGCATACTCAGAGTGCTATTGATGTAATTAACAGTACACAACACGTCAATTGATTGAAGCGTCGATGGCTCCGGCAGTTGTAATAAAGCACGCGCTCGATCTCTCGCTGCATCTGATAAACATTCATGCAATCATGAACAGAAAGTACTTACACATAAGTCGGCCAGTGTGATGCTGTTGGCAGTGTAGAAGACGAGCAGCTCAGCAGGCAGCGCGCGGGAACCGGGCTCGCGCAGCTTGGACGCCAGCAGTAGGCACGCCGTGCCCAGCAATTGGACTTGGCTCTTGCTCACGGCGCACGTGCTCAGGAACCGATCCAAGTAAGATATCGCCAGTGGAAACACCTCCTCCTGGCATCCCTGGTCTTCACACACCTGCAATACAAAGGAACTGTTAGTAAACTTTGAACCGATAAACCGTTGTTTCTTAGAAAGTACTGGCACCGCACCCAGACCATTGCTTAGTTTATCATCCGGAATTCCTGATAACCTATATATAAAATGGAAATACACACTTATTGCGATAAATACAGCGCGCCTTACTTTCCTGCAGCAGTTATACATTCCTTATCAAAACGTTAATGGTTCCTGAACGCACTTGATACTACGACCGGAATTGAACGTGCTTTTATCAAATATAACAAATGTATGGTACGGTTCCAGGCTGCCAGTACCAAGACGCTGAGCTTGTACAACCCGGAAAAGTCTAAAGGGACTACGCTTATCTTACATTGTTCGTCAGACGGATTCACAATTTTTCCTTGTACAGTAGAACAGAGTTTAAAATCACGTTTCTGTTGGACAAATCGCATTTTATCACACAAATAAAAGTAAAATCAAACCATTTCTTCAAAATGAGTTAGGTACTTTAAAATGGAAAGTAGGGAAAAGCGAAAGGAGCTGCTAGGTCCAAAGTACTGACGTACCTAGTTGTAAAGTATGTGGAGTGTCATGAGAGACGAAGCGTCGCAGATTGTTCCCGGCATAGTTTCGCACGGTAACGCGACTCGCGAACCGGCACGGATCCAATCGTATCACCGTGAATACAACATGTAGGTATGTACTCGAGTACGTAAGAACGTATACATATAACCTGATGCATACCGCTCAGACTCTCACGGTTTACCTCGCTCATAACTAATTAACTATCTCACTCCACTCTGTCGAATTTCTTATCTAACGCGATTCCACTAATTCTCAGAAAAGTGTAGTGCAACAATAAGTATCCAAATTACAATAATAAAATAAAAAAAATAGTTTAGTTTTTGTAAGTACGGCTTTATGGTATCTACCTAGCTAAATTATCGAAGCAGAACGAGTGAGCATCTAATGAATGCCATATGCGCCTATAAAACAAAGCTATTATCGTTAATACCTATTACGAGCTATGTACATCGGTAGTAAGCTAGTGAGTAGGCCGTGAGATACCACGTTTCATGGACTTTTTCCACCGGTAACATATATACATAGGTACTGCCTGAGGTTTCAGAACATCTACAGCAAAAATAAAATCGCGATCTTCATTTAGATAACGATATTACAAATGCAATAACACGGATTCGGTGAACAATTCCCGAATCGTCATGTAATGCTTTTTGAGTGAGCTTGATGATTAAACATAAAAGTTAAATGCGAGCATATTGGAGATGTCATTGACCCGACGGACTGTGAGGATCGTTTCGGTCTGCTTGTGCTGAAACGTCGGTATGCGACTAGTTTAAGTGTAAGCACGAGGTGAGCCAAGTTGGCGACTGTGCCGGACTCCGGAGCCCGAGCCTGCCGCCGCATGTAGCAGCAGTGCGCGCACCGTGACGTCAGCGCCGCGCCGGCCGGCTCCACGTGGCGGTGCCGACACAGATATTGCACATACTTCATCTAAGCACTACTTAGATAACTAACAATACATCTAGTATTGTGACTGCTCTACAGAACGTTCCAATATTATAGTTTTCGTAATATCAGACGATCAGAATTTCTTTTTACTGCCAGTAATAATCTAAATAGTAAAGTAAGCAAAGTTCATAATAAATTACACGTCATGTAGGCCACTGAATACGAACAATGACGTTGGTGTGTGCGCTTGTAATTTATTATTTATATGTACATATACAAGCAAAAGATAAGTGCGCAGCGGAGCGTCAGCTGTGTGCGTGTCAAAATCAGCTGATTATTCAAATAGAACGAGCGGAGTCGCATCGGTCGGCGACCGCGCCCGCCCGCGCTCGCGCCGGGGCCCCTCGCACGCTACACAGCCGCTCTCTGCGCACGCTACTCGAGACTCGACCACTTGCTTACTCAACTAGGTACCTACGTACGCCAGCGCCGGCGCTGCATACTTACTACTAACACATTTCCAATACCTACTACTTAATCTTCAACCCATGACAATCACTGTAAACGGTCTGCGGATCGTTATTTTCAACTAACGACTTATTAGCTGTTGTTATTCTTATAAGAATCTAACATGTGGAACGAAACCGTAATCAGCTGATCGTGTAAACAAAGCCATAACGTCCACTTTAGCAATAGTAGTGCAATGACTTGAAGTTATCATGGTTAGCACGTCTTTCAACAACACAAATGCAAACACTCTGCACTAGTATGTCATGGGAACAGTCTCCGCGGCATCGAGGAGTCACAGACGCGAGGGAGCCCGACGGCAGACAGTGGCGAGAGCATACGAGGGCCACTGGTGCCATAGGGAGTAACTACACGTGGCCGGAAAACGAGACAAAATGGCGATCGTTCGGGTTGCGCGATCCGCAGATGGAGCGGTGTGGGTGCGGCATGCGGCGCGGGTGCGCTCACCTCTAGCATCCACTCGGCGACAAGGCGGCGCATGTGCGGCGTGACCTCGGTCTGCACGGTGCCAAAGTAGTTGGCGGTGACGGCGTAGCGCTCCTCGGTCCGCAGCAGGTTGTCGAGCACGCGGCGCCGCAGCAGCACCGGGTCCGGCGCGGCGGCCCGGTGGGCTCGCACCGCCGGCGGTGCCCGGCCCACATCGCCGCTATCGGGACTCACGCGCTCCGCGCACAGAAGCTCCATGTTACACCGCACTGCGGCTTATTGACAGCTCGCGTCGCGGCCGGTGTCGGCGTATTGTGGTCGGACAGCTGATCGTGCGCGAGCGGCCGGCGTGGAGTGAAGCGCGTTGTGTTGCGACGACGGCGAGTGCCCGAGTCGCAGTGAGCAGCCGGTAAGCGCCTCGTCGCCGAACATATGATCGGCGCGGCGCGGGGGCACCGCGGGGGCGGGGCGGGGCCCGTGAGGCCCGCACGCAGGTTTCTCCCATTCGACGTTCAAATAATAATACATAACATGTTTTCTTGCTCGCTCGCGCTCTGAAGTTCTTCTCTCTCAGTCTCGATTCTTGCTTCTCATTCTATTTGGTGCTTTCATATTAACTTACTTTACTTATAAATACATATAAGACGAATTCCTCAGATATAGAATAATAAAATCGGCTGTATAAACAACTACCTGTAGCGTAATTTTTCAAACTTTCTTTACTAATTGCGTATAAGTAAAAGCGAATACTCTAAAAATGATTTATGTTTCCGTAAATTTTTAACAATGTTTACTTTATTAGTTGAGCTTGAATTATGCTATTATTATATTATGTAACCTCCGGGTCTGGTTACCTCACTGGCCGTCGTTAGTCAGTGACCAGTGGGGCGGCGCAGGCGGCCAGTGAACTTTTCAAATCGCCTAGCGCCTAGGTTAGGGCGGCTGACAGTCTGCCACAGGTACAGGTACAGCTCTAATCACTGCTCCACGGGTCCACCCTCTTTGGTTTACTTTGATATAGGTACCCAGACACTTACAAACACGATGTAAGGTTGATATTTTGACATAGGTTCTGTGTACCTGCCATAGAAATATAAAAAAACGGTTATCATAAATATCTAGGTACGGTAAGTACGCACAGTGAAATCTTTTGAGACGTAAGTAATGTTAGGCCGTGTATGTACATATTTACAAGTTTGGCCATTGCAGGTCAAAATAAACAATTATGACCTTTTTACTTAGGTACAAACCTTAACACCTATTTATCACCTAACTGTCGTTTAAAAAAGTACTTGAAATATTTTATTCGGGCAATTTTGACCAATGTTCGTCTACTTCCATTTAGGATAGATGTTGTAATTATGTTTGTCGAGGAACTTCTAATAAAATACGTGTTTTTTTTTACTTTTTATGATCAAAAAATGTTTGCAGGTATGTCAGTCAATCGGTACGGCCATGAATGATGACATTGTGACACTATGTCAGTAGACGACAGGAATAAATAGACCGTGTTACTTTTTGCGTCAAATTACACTATGTAAGTACGAATTAGTAGTTTCCTTTACTGCAACTTAAGTCCTAGCGTATATTATTTAGATAGGTTAGTAGGTATGTTATACATATATTGGTTAGGAAACTTAGGTGATATTTTATATTTACATACATATTTATAAAACACGGGTAAGGTCAATTAGTCTAGAACTTAAATTAAATTCAAATAGGCTATTCTGTAACTTTCGAAGTAAGTTCGATCGCATTCTCGCCCGTCATTGGTCAAGATTATTCTCACAACCAATGACCGCGGACCGAGATCGAGTGTACTTCGATCTTTCGAATTGACAGTTACAGAATCAGGTAATTTTGAACTTGCGGGATTATTCTAGACTAACCCAAACGCTTAATCAATAGTAGGTAGTTAAAAATCTTACTCTATTCATTTTTCATTTTATTTTGATTTTTTGGTGAAACTCGGTCAGTTTTACAGTTTCTAAATTACCTCTATGTTGTTGTTTGTTTCATTTAATTTTAATTAATTGAAATTCGGTAATAAACAATCCACAGTTTTGTATGTTTACTATTACGTTGAACTTTCATCACTTCTTGCGTAAAAACTAAAGATAATATTGTCTATTTTTATAATGTTGTAGTTAGGTTAGGAGGTAGGTAAACAATACTCTATTTATATACTATTACAGTAATGTTCAAATAGTATGTTTATTTGCACTAAATAGGCTCCGAAACTACTGGACTGACTTTGATTTAAAATTGTTTCATCCTTCACCGGCTCACCTTACTATAAATATACACGCTGAAAAAGTTGGTAAATACCACGGGAACCAATGTGACAGCTACGTAATATTATTTTGAAACATATTTTAATAGAAGCTCTTTCCTTGTATCCTGTATGAAATTGGCTTAGGAATCAGCATAGACTTTAGTTTGCATTCCTTAAAAGCAAACAAAACTGTACCATTCTTGGGGAAGTACCGAAACATCTGATTGACTGAATGAAAACAGTTTTAGGTACGTCATAATGTGGGTTATCTATATTCCCAGAATAGAGTAGGGCCTTAATGAAAAAATTAAGAGGGAATACTTATTTAAGTAAAATAACATCTTTGCCTGAAATGTGAACAACTAGTACCTATTCTTACTTTTTTTTTATTTATGCATGCAAAATTATTTCTTTCGTCTTCAGAACTGGTTTTTGTGAGTATCTCTTGTAACAGGGACTGTTTAGATTTTCAGAGGTTTGATAACGCGTTTGACAATTTGACAGATGCATTTATGACACTTACTTTAACAGTAATCAGAGAAAAGTGAGCGTTATAGTTATAGTTATGACGTCATTTAACAATTTGTCAATTGTTGCAACGTCTTTTTGACCTAACCGATACTTTAACAGAAATTTTGACGTTTGTTATTGTTAAAGTAAGTTGGTACAACCCAGCCTTAGTAGCATTAGTAGGTAGTACCTACCTACATGTCAAATGTGTTGAGTTTTTAGACCGTTATTGTTTTCAATTAACCTAAAGGTTACGTAAGTACCTACTTAAAAAAATATATTTACTATTATTAAGCCAGCGTAAGTATCCATAGCTATCTATGTAAGTACTAAAAAATCCGAAAATCATGTCGTAAAAATTCAAAAGTCATTATTACTGAAGTAGTAAAATCCTATTTCTATTATCATAGATAAAGATATCATACCTAAACATTTAGTTGTATAAAATAGACGGACACTATGGACAGTTTATACGGAAACTATTTATAAAACTAAGCGTTTCATGTTTCGTTTAAATTACTTTAGTTTGGCGACTAGTAAATCGTTGGAATGTAGGTACCAAATCTATTACAAAAAATTAATCGATTTTGCCAGTCTGGTGTGCAAGACCATTCATAGGTTTTTAACTATTATAAAACATGAAGAATTCGATAAAGTCATTGTTACCGTATACGGCTAATCAAAAGTATTGTAGGTATAATCAAGTCCCAAATGGAATGTGAAAAAGTTCAATACACTTATGTAAGATGCCGATGCCGGGTATGCCGATGAAAACTTACAAATGACCTGGATTCCTGCATCAATGTTGGAAATGGAGCGGAAAATATCAGTCGCTAGAACAGTCGTCTCTCTATGGAAAGAATGCAACAGACATTCACATGATACATGTATTACTATTAGGAATATTTTCTTCCGTGCAGATGTTAATTATGTAACACGACAATCAATCAATTCATAAAAACCGTATTAAATCTGAAATTTTAATCGTCACGGAATTTTGAACTGGTGACTCGCTCTTTAAGTACTGATACAACTGTCTGTCTAATGAGGTTTGAACCTCAGAATATTAATTAAACTGTTTGCTCAACGCATCTAGCCACTGTTTGTACTAGTGACCGTAACCGTCGACGTCCATTTCTTGGCGAACGTGTCTCTAATATCTCGCAGCTAATTACTCAATAGCGTTGGTGATCGATCGTCGATTTGTTCTCATTGTTGTTGAATGTCAACGGCCATATAAAAGCACTTGCTTGTAGCAATAGCAGCGGGTCGATCAACTCCTTCGCGGGTTTTTTGCTAATTCAAATGAGAGGTGTGCGCAAGCGCACCGTGCAGGGCTCACGCGCAGGAAGTGCGCTATAACCGCGCGTCATTAATCACCGACTAGCCGGCTTCCTTCACTCCACTTGGCCAATATGAGGGCGACACTTTTATTGTTTCGCGTATTTTTAATTTTTATTGCACACGCCTCGCGTTACTTTCTGCGGTCGGCACTCGACAGCTCCAGCGCTAAGACAACAGCTCGTAAAATGTTACTCTACTTTTTTGAATTGTCTCAATCGTAACGTTGTCGAGTTTAACAATGATGATGGAGAGGAGTACACCAGCAACGGGCAGCAAATCTTCTGGACCTTTGACCGGATACGTGCTTAGTTTCCTTACTTGTATTAAAATGAGCTTGAGCGCAAACAATGAACAGAATTCCAAAACACGGTAATAATACGGAATGCTTAGTGCGAGCGGGACATCACTCTTTCTTGGAACCACGACACTGCGTAATGGAACGCGGCAAAATGGAATGCAACCGGCACCGTTGATCGGCCGAACCGACCACTCTTTACTAAAAGTAATAAGTGAACTCTCCAGCTAGGCAGGCAATATCTTCTTCACATTACTCGCGCATGCGTTATGATAATCAAATCATTATTCATTTCCATTCATCAATATATAAAATAATCTTTCATTATACCGCATCCAAGTCAATTAATTTACTCTTTTATTAGTTATCTTATTTCTACATCGAGAGCCTGTAATATTATATTCACAATTTATTATAGATACCTTAATTTTTTGTTTTTGATTAATTAATTAATTAACACAATTAGTGAGTGCATTTCTTTGCACAGACCACTTATTTTTTGTTGCGATCGTCTCTGCAGACAAAACGCTCCGCTAGTAGTCCTGAAAATTAATATTTCATTGAGATATAGTTTTGTGAAACCTGTCTGTGTTCTAACTTAACTCACCCCGGTAGGATTCCATCAAATCACCAAGAATCGAAGTTTCAAATAGCTCAATAAGCTACAGCCTAAAGTCACAGACCATATCAAAACATTGGACAATAATAAAGTATTAAGAAATAAGAGACTCGGTAATTGTGATGAAAGTTTGGGAACGTGAAGCGTGGAGCCACTGGAGTGATCATTTCCGTCGTTCCGCTCAGATGTTCACGGTAGGAGCATGGACCTCAGTG